ATTACAGTATTCCCACTAAAAGGTGGCTCTTCATCTGTAAAATTTACATTAGCATTAACAATAATATTAGTAATAATAATATTAATAAAAAGCTAAAGCTATGTACAATATGAGGGGTGCTACTGACAAAAGTTAAAGTAATATAGAATACAGTAAAAACCAACGACTAAGAACCTACACTTTCCAGGGTTAACCTAAATAGGTTCTTGCATAAACGGTGGTTAACATAAATTTAGGCTATCTAGGTTCTTAATAGGTTCTTAATTTCGTGCAAAAAATTATGTCGTTGCTAAGAAGATTTTAGTGATCAGCAAGCACCCTTAAATTTGCATCCCTAATGATTGCTTATATTTTAATATGACCATAAATAGAGATCTATTCTCACATTATTTTAATTTCTTGAGTCAAAACAACTTTATATACATGATTGTGCTGTAAAACACAATATTATAAACATTTTCTCAAAGACCTCAATCAAACAACATTTATATATGTACTAACTTGCCTTTTGCAATTGCAATTAGTAAATATTGTTAAATGATTTTTGAAAATAAGAACCTTTCTCCAAATTTTAGGCTAAAGAGGTTCTTATATAGAGGGGGTCTAAACTGCAAATTTTAGCCTAACAGGTTCTTAAATCTTAGGTTCTTACTCGTGGGTTTTTACTGTGTATACAAATCAAGAAAATAAACGTACATTTACCCTATTTAACAGATACCTCCTCAATTGAGTTTTAAAATCACTAAAAACTACAGAATTCCTTGCAGCAGAGGGTTATGAATTAAAAACATTAGAGGAAATGTCCTGGAAAGTACCCGACTCAAGGGGTACTTTTAACGTCGTTTTGTCGTGTGCGTTTTGGATTATAAATGTCTAGCTTTAGCTAGGACGGCCAGTCATTATACGTTCCTTTATTGGCATCCATCCCAGTTTGATTAGATCCGGCATATGCGCACAGCGCCCAAGAACTGGACTGGTTGTGGGCGCTTTGGTAGGTATTCCAGGATTGGATGACTAACAATGTCATTGTAGTCAATTTTCGACAAAATAAGGCATTCCGCTGGTTGCTTTCGTACGTGGAAGGGAGTTAAGTGCTTTAATCAGTTTCTAATTGCCGTTAGTGTAGCTAGCAGCTAGAGATCTTCGAGTTAATCTCCTCCTTCCAGTTGAGGTGTTAATTGACTTGCGTCCCCAGCAGGCGAAAGTTTGAGACACGCTCGAGCTTTTTCCCGTTAACCGTGAGATTAAGTGAACATGTCTCAAGTCCATGTTCCCTTGACATCTGAGCTGATGACAGCATCATCACCTTTGTTAATCATTAAACAGGATAAAATAAAAGTCGTGGATTTCAACTTAGGACTGAGGTATTTACCCTGAACAACCCCACTGAGCCAGCTTCTTCTTTTCCTGTGTGTGGGTTTTATTGGACACCGGCTCGGGAACTACACACTAAAGAAGAAACACAACTTAGCTTAGGGGACATTAGCCGATTTTTATCTAAATCCGGTCACATTCGTAGGCTACAGAAACAAAAGTTTTTTTTTCTCCCATACAAATCCTTACATTTTGAACGTCACGCAACAGTGCCCAGTGTTATTTCGAGCTTGGGCCACCTGTGCAGCAACCAAACAATGGTTTCTTGCAGTTGTTATTGTGGAAGGTTATACAAGAGAGGTTCCTTGTTCTACTAAAGGGTACATGAAAGGAACACCTTTTTGGGCAAAAATGGCATGTACAAGGGTATTCTTTTTACCGTAAGACCAGCGGAACATCTGCGTACAAAAGTTTACAGCCTTTACTCCACCCCGCCTTCCCTGGCCATAATAACCCGAAGGGAGCACTTACCATTCTTACTCACGGGTCGTTTGCCGCAAAGACCAGTAAGTTTATTTGCATGCAATTGTTTCACAAAAAAGTATAAATCAAAGCATGGTGGAGGCTGGCCAGAAAACTAATGTCCACGAATTTTAGATAATACTCCAACACTCTTCCACTCTTCTTTATTTTTGTTGATATGCATTGAATCTGACGTTTCCATGATAGTTGTGAGTCCGTAATAAAGACACCAATACATTGCAACTTTCCTGATTTAGGCACTTGTTTTTATTATTAACCGCAGGTGGCCCATGCTCTCTACATAAATTACACCGTGTTTAGATAAGTGGCGGTCATCGGCCTGAAGCAAGGGGCTGCATGTATGTGACATAATTATTCACCTCGGGCTGCTGCCTCGGTGAATATACATTGTATCATATAACACGAACAGAAGGCCCCTAAATGGCTTATGGGCGGAGGTTGTACACCAACCATAGGCAGCAATAAGATTTTAAGATGACAAGTCGTACAACTGGTCTAAGCAGACGTACGCCAGAGGGTGTGTGTGTACAAGGAGGAGGAATAAAGATTCCTTTTTTGTATCACTACATCATTGTAAAGAGAAATTGGAAAAAAGGGATGAAAAAGGAACAAGACAAGGATTAAAAAGGATGAGAAGGAAAACTTGTGCCAACCAGGTACTGTCTAGAAACAAAAAGTCCACCCAACTTGGCAGCAACATGAAACTTGTGAGGAAGATTTCCTTTTCTTCCTTCTTTTTTAAAAACTAATTTCTGTCTTTTATCGTGGAAATAAAAAGCTGTCTCTCTAACTTTATGTCACGGCATTTCTTGCTCCCCGAATACGAAAGCAAAGTAGCGTATGAAATGTTCACTATTTTCTTTAGCTCTTACTAGTTAAACCTGCGTGGTTTAGATTATCGCAGACAGTCTCGAAGAGGATGCAATGATGGTGATTGGCGAGTGTTACAAAAGAGTATGTTATTTTTATTTACGTTCTGCAGTCAACCCCACTATTTATAATTACCATTCAAATATAAAAGTACTATAAAAAAGCTGCTTCAGTTAAACAAACTTTATGTCTAAATTTGTGTTGTCGGTATTTTTAATGTCATCCGCATTTACTTCCTTGTCTGCTACACAGCGGCAGACTACGTCATTCCGCCCACATTCGCCATCTTCAGGTATCTGGTCGCATTTCACAGACGCTCGAATTTTCGTAAAAAGCAACGAAGTGTTTCGTTCCCATAAACTAGGGTTTTGAATGTTTCTTAACGCAAACTACAAGTTTAAAATAATTGTTTGTTTTTACCAATTTCAATTAGCATTTTTGTCGCAGTGTTTAAATCATGTGTGTCTGTGCAATAGTTGGGCCCAGTTTATATGGAGGAAATTTGTGCCGAGTCGAAGGGTCAATCACTTACGTACCGGAGCTACCCTGGGCGAGTCAACTTTTCCTAAGTTTCCTGACAAAACTTTGCGAACCGTTTACTCTCGGAGACAAAAAAAGTTGGCTCACGTACAGATAAGTACTAGCCGAGTCACCCTTTTTTGATGGTAGTGTCACAATCCTAGCCAGGTCAACTTTTCTCCATATAAACACTTGGGCCGCCCAACAGGGTCAGCTCGGTCAAGGCGACACAATCGGAGCATGTACAAGCGCTAGCTGTTGCGTCGGGAAAAGGGTTCAACCTTTTTGTCATAAAAAAGCGCACTTAAGTTTACTCGGCTGGGAGAGTGACACCTCTTAACCGGGACGACTTTTATCCATAAAAACAGGGCCTTACACACGAAGAATATATTTATCCTGTTAACGAGTATCTTGCACACGTGTCCATATCTTGTGTCGATATCAGTTGTTCCACTTCGTCTATGTGCGTTAAGTAAATGCTTACTGATGGCCTAAGGTGTCGTTGCAACGCCCATTTCCGCGAAAAGTTGCAGTGACGTGACGTTTACTACTGCTGTTTTAAATGCTTTGTTTAGGTTAAAAAAAATGCAGAGAAACTAAACATCTTTTTGCAAGCAATGCAACCTAAATTGGTTGAAATAGCTAATAATCTAGTTAGCAAGTAAAAAGCAGTTCCATTTTAAGAAGTTTCATCACCATCTGCATCTTTCTCTTCAATATCGTCATCATCATGAATCTATATGAAAAGATGTACAAACTTTGATCAATGTTCTTCTACGATAAGATCCATAGGAACAGAGCACTGCTACGAATTTTTAAGGAAATAGAATCTTAAAAGCAAAAGTCGAAAAGGCCCCAGTGATTGGACCCCTTCCATTATTTTACACTACCTCTTTCATTAGGCAATGATGTTTTATTACAGTTTGTAGGGTTTATAGCCTCGTCTGCAGTAGTTCACTAAAAGCCTCTGATACCAATGTAATTAATGCCGATATTTCGACATTACATTATTAGTTTAATCAGATTTTTATTTTCGATTCAGCAATTTTCGTTTGGGTAACTTAATACTCCAAAGATATTACGAAAAAACCTCGGCAACACACAGTTGAGTTTTCTTGCAGGTTGTATCTTAACCCTCGGACCTACACGCAAATTCATACCCCCACCACGGTACAGGGGGGGGGAGAGGGAGTTGGATAAAACACTTCCTAAGAGTTTTTGATATGTTGTAGTATTTCGAAACGATTTTGCCTTCAGTGGAAAGCCTTCTCAACAAGATGAGGTATCTTTTATGGGCGGTGGCGCTGCTGGAGGTCTGTGACGTCACCAACAATCTTGGGCGACATCTTGGATTTTACCAAGAATCAGAAATTAGGTTAAACCCACGAGAAATGGTAATTTTTTGTGCTAGACGTGAAAAATAACACATGAATAAATTATTGGTGAAAGAAGTTGAAAAAACACGTATTTTCACTCAAAAATTGCTTGACCAGCTGCTACTTATGACGTCATATGTGTTGTTATCTCGCAACCATAGAAATTGACCATCACTGAACTTGTCTTAAAATGCGCTTGAGGAATAAACGAACAACTACTGAAAACATCAGTTGCTGATGTTTTATTTTCCAAGAAAAAACTCAGAAAAATCTAAGGGGTGGTGGGGGGGGGGGCAACCTTGTACGTCCGAGGGTTAACACTTGCCTCCAGAAGTAGACACTCGCAGACACCCATTCACCCGCCCATATCCCACTGGGCAAGATAGGGTTTAAACAAAATTAGGTGTAATTCGGCGAAAAAAATTATAAGTAGGAAATCTATCTCCATGCACACATGAAAGGAACATTTAAGAAAGACTTACCAAAGATCACACTAGCCATCTCTTCTGCAACCTTTTCGCACTCTCTATTCCAGCTGTACATTTTTTCATACGCTTTCCGAAGATATTGGATCTCTTGAAGACGCTGAGCTTTATTCTTTCTTCTAACGTCTGCAATTCTCTTAGCCCATTCGGCCGGATCCTCGAATTTTCTGACTATGACTAAGTCACCAAATTCCACCTTTTCTAATGCCTTAGCAAATCCAGTCTGAGAGCTTACGAGAAGAGGCAGTCCGGCAGACAAAGCTTCAAGACCAACCAGGCCGAACCCTTCCACTCTGGATGGCATTATAGCAAGATCCGCTATTCTAAACTCTTCTTTCAGTGCCTTTCTGCTTGCAAACCGTTTTACTTCCAATTGGACATCACTCATTCCCCAATCACGGAAGGATTCTTTTATTTTCTTTCCTCCCTGACTTTTTTCGCTTGCTCCAACAAAAAGAAGTTTATATGGTTTATTTTTCAGCTCACCGTCAGCAAATGCTTTGGCTGCAATGTCGTATCCCTTTGCCTCAAAGTCATTAACGTCATCACGGCCGACCAAAATGACTTTGAAATCGTCTAACTCTGTTGCTGAGCGTTCGATGTCTTTAAATTCCTCAAGTATGCCTGGAGTAAACTCGATGACCATTTTTCCGGTCCCACTTAGTGATCGGGTACCTTCATTCCTCAATAAGGGGCCAATTGCCATGACAAGATCAGCCGCTTTGCGCATGTCCAATTCAGCAGCATCTTTCTCTTCTCCTTTGCGAATCGCCAAGTCATCGGTTTTCTGCATCCCTAGGCTTAAGCTGGGAGTGTGCAAAACATGCATCAACTTACAGTCGCATTTGTTGCGAATATTCTGCGCATCTTTTCCAAACTTGCCATGGCCCACAACAATTAACCTTCCAAGATCTTTCTTCGGGTAAAAATTGTGAATCATTTTGCAATACTCTTCTGAATTGTTTTCAGCTACTAAAATCTCAACTCTCTTGCTTTTGGCTTCCTTCTTCTCCTCTATATTGCATGAACCGCCCACAATAAGGAAAGTGACACAAACATCAGGTTGGCTTGCCATATTAATGGCAATTTCTCTGTTCATGGTCGACATGCCACCATGCGTCGAGCCCCACTCGTCACCTATTGTAACAACATCAATTTTCCTACAAGGATCGTTCCCTGTACCTGGCTCTTCTGGTTGCCTTTGTTTTACAGAAGCTGCTCCATTTAAAACAACTGCCTGCAAAAGAGTGAAAAACTGTCGTGTAGTGTCTATCCGTTTTTCTCTAAGATAGAAGAAAAAATTACAAAGAGAGGTAACTAGGCACGAGAGGGACTAAGACTCGATAAAATAATACTGCTTAAGGGATCTTTTACAAATTGGCAATGTGTTGTTGGCTGTGATGGAAAGATCTGTTAATTCAAAGATTAGTCAGGTAGTATTTTTACTGAATATTTGTCAGAGAACTAGTGAAGCACGGTCACTGTTGAATTTGGAGAGAAAACAACAAGTTATATATGAGCTTATATGGAGAACCGACATTGGAAAACTTTTCAATGAACCTTATGTAAGAATTCATCCGAGATTGCAAAGGTTGTACCATGCGAAAATGGATATGAAGCAGTTCATCGCGGCATCTTAGAGTGAAGCTATATTTATTTCCCCGTGAAGGACGGTTTGAACGTCCAAAATATTGTGAAAACCGGGAACCGTGGTGCAAGTCTTTGGCCAGTTGTTGCAAAATGCGTATTTCAGCACAAATAAACTAATTAACAAAAATAAATGTTACAAGTACAGTATTAATTTCAGGAACAGGTGGCTGTAGTCCGTAGCGGCAACAGTTGCCGCACCGCTCCACAGTCGCAACATCGATCCATGCTCTTCGCGCCTACGATCAGTCAATTTTAAAACCACACTTAACAATGAGCAATTCCATCTGAGGTCTACTAACACGAGTCCTGATGCACAGCTAGACATCAAGGCGGAAGGATTCTGGACATGAGGAGTTACGGTAATTTTTTAAGTACGAGTGACTCACGTTAACTCATGTAGCAGCCAGAACAAGAGTACCCTCACCATCTTTACGGAACAAAAACAGGAAAAGAAGAGAAAAAACCAAAAAAGAGTTGTAAATTTAGAAATGGGTACTTTCACACCCTTGATCGTCGGCGCAAATGGTGGTATGGGTACTAAAAGCCAACTTTTTCTTAAGAATCTAGCGAACGGCTTTTTCTAAAGAATACAGCGAACAAACTCTCGGGAGGTCGTGGGTTCGATTCCCGGGACCGGACTAAAACTCAGGCTTTTCAAACGACTTAGAAATGAAGGTACAGTATGTGGTCCTAGGTCCGGACGAAAAAGACGTAAATGAGTGTTTCTTATCTTAGAGCGCAGCTGGAATTGATTGATGCATTATTACTCCCTCAGTAACGTCTGAATCGACCGGCCGTTAATGCCGCTCAGTGACGTCACTACTCCGTTGCGTGACAATCCCGCTAAAAGTTCTCATAATTACGCATAATTATGCGAATGTTTAGACAATCAACCAATCAAAATCACTATCCGGTTTTCCGGTAGTGATGAGGTCACTGGACTTCATCAACGGCCAGTCGATTCAGACGTTGCTGAGAGGTGAAAACGACTCGAAGCAATCGGATGAAATTCAGGCTACGGCAAATGAATCCGACTGAAAAGCGTGTGTCATCATGCACGTGCAGTCCTAGTCTGCTACACCGTTTGTGGGGAGGAGCGTTGCGGGAAGACACTAAAAACGGGTGTGTAGCAGACTAGTGCAGTCCGTGCAGAGTCGGTTGTGCTGTTAAAACCCATTGCTTGAATTGTTTTACTTTGCTAAAGCTCTCTAATGAAACCAATCGGACGGATAAAAGCTTCCTTTTTATGGCCTTCTTGTTCACTACTTAATTAATAAAGTGCAGCGCTACTGGGAAAGTCTCGGGCAATATGTTTAGCTTGAACGCTGTACGCGGTTTTTATTATTTACTCCCCTCATGGAAAGTGCTTTACTTACAATGTGACTCAAAGTTGAAAGATCCTCACTTCAATTCATAAATCTTAATCTACTAAGAACTAAACGAAACAAGAACTGAACTTTCTGAGTCTCTCCCTTTTCAATCACTATTTGGCTGGTTTATGTTACCGTCCGGTGGCCGGACCAAGGACCTCCCGGACGGACACAAGAACCTACCTTTTCTTCCTGAGGAGCTGAAGGGAGCATCGGGACCACCTACCATAAAGAAATTCGAAATTCTTAAGTTTTACTGTACTTCTAATTATAACTGCACAATTTCCTTTGAACTACTGGAACCGCGATATAACGAAGGGCCAAGGTACTGGAAAAATATCATTTTTTGCTATAACGAGTAGTACGCAAAATTTACTTTGGAATGTTTTAAAATTCAATCTGTGAAAGAGATGAACCCAGGAGTCATTTCAAAGTAGGTTGAGTTTGATCGTCCGAGTGAACGTAGTCCTGAATAGGACTGTTGTTGTTCACAGTGACTGACGTTTCGACAACCTGTACGGTAGTCATCTTCTCTGAAGATATACGGCTCACCTAATTTTGGTGAGTGACAGTGTTGAGAATAATATTATAGTCAGTATTGTTAATTTGCGCCATTGATGACACGTATTTTAACTGTACATGTTTTACAAACAGAAAGAAATCATTTCTGGACATTTTAAAAAAATTTAAATATATTATCCGAATAGACTTTACTTTAAAACGTTTTAATTACTTAAGGATATTTTTGTTGTAGAGGTGTAGATTAGAAGTGTGATATTTTTTAACTACAAAAATTCTCCTACCTTACTATTGTGCTTTCCTTTTGAAATTGGCCTTGGCCTCTACAAAAGGAAAGATGACAGTAGATATCGGGAGTTATTTATACCTTTCTATATCGACATTAATTTTGTGAATATGTTTGTTAAGATTACTAATTCAAACTTATTCCATATTAATTATTGTAATTGCTGCGGAGCGACCGCAGGGAGCGAGCAGCAACACAATCAGGATTTAAGGGAAATATATAAGGTGGGAGGAATTCTCAAATTCATCACTTTTTACCAGAATGCATTGCATTTAAACAGAGTGCGTTGCGTTACTTTTTACCAGGATGCATTGCGCCACGAACAACTCAAATAAAAACACGAGGAAGTTCGGTGGTTGAGAGCGTGCAGCCGGGCGTGCATCGTTCGCTGCTCAGACTCAGAGTTTCTTTGAGGCAAATTTTGTACAGCACGGCTAGAGGTCTAACCAAATTTAAGATACGCAGGAGTCTTTCAGATGAGTACGATGGTTAACGATGGATTGGATTTCAATTCAAGAGACTTGGACTCGTCCAGACGTTAAAATTGACGAGAAGATGAGTATTTGCTCTTCGACTCCGCAACACGGGGGATATACAAATTCCACCTTGCTAGAAGGTGATGTGAAAGTGAGAAAATGTCATGCCATGCTATTCTTAAGAACCTCTATGAGCCGAAAATGGATGTGATTTTGACCACTGGCTTCAAAATAACAGCGGAAATCGAGATAACAAAACATATGTCGTGCGTCCTACTTTGGAGACGAGGACGTGTATCGGCGTTTTGTAAAGCATAATTTTGTTCTTTCATTTATTCATTGCCATGGAATATGCCGCGTTTACATTGTTTTCTTACTGTTAATTGCTCGGTTAATGCGGCTCGATCATCTTGCCGGGCGAAGTTTCATGGAAAATGCATTAAATTAAAGTCTAATCCCAAGACTTATGTTTTCAGCCCCTGTGGTGTAGTGGTTAGGCCGTGTAGTCGTACGTCGAGCCGAAGGTGCCGGGTTCGAGTCCTTCGCAACCCTTTTTTTCCTTCTCTCTTTTTTTCCCCGTTCTTTGTGTTGTTGTTTTCTATAAATATATACATACATAACTGTTATTTAATAAAGTGCAATAAACAGCAAGAAAAGTATTGTTTTTCCAGAGAAAAGATAGTACACCGTATAATAAAATTATGGATAAACAATCTGAATTTCTATCATTTCCTACAATTAACTGTGGGAAAACCAGAGTTGATAACCACTTGATCATTTTCTAAACAACGTTCCCACGAGTTCTCTCTATGAACTGATAGTAATTGTTACTTTCCATCATGTAAATAGGACATTCAATGTCATTTTCTGGTCTCACTGCCTAACTAATGTCAGTATCAACGGAATGTGCCGCAGCATTACTGTCTTTTAGATACCCTAGTTCATAATATTAGATTTTAGATAAGTTTTCATTTTGTTTATTTTTTATTTTATTTTTGCATAGCCACGAACGGTCGATTTTTTTTCCTCAAAAAAGCACAGGACAGGAGTGAGTGAGTAGCTTGAGCTAAGAATACTGCACACTTATTTTCTCTGTACGTTCTCGCAACGTTCAGCGTCGCTGGCCGTCCTCAAGTAAGCATCGTACCGATAAGTGTGCAGTGGTTTTCGAGTAAATAGATACGGTGGACCCCGATATAACGATGATCCCGGTATAACGATGATTATTAAAATCCAGCTAGTGGTCTATTATCAATGCTGCGTTCTGATTGGTTGAGCTACAACTAGGCTATATGTTATAGCCCACTAGTAGCGAAAAGCGCGGGCTTTTTGGCGGCAAAAAGGATTAAAGTCTATCTTTAGGTAGCTAAATTTTTTTTATTCTCGATATTTTTGACCAACTAGTTGGATTTTACTAGAAAAAACTATTCCTCTCGCCCTCATGGCCTCTGAGTCAGTAGACCATGAGGCCGAAGGCCGAATGGGCTATTGACTCAGAGCCCATTCGGGTTCGAGGAATAATTGTTAAATCTTCTATGTCCTGGCAAAAAAAATATATGGGACAGAACTCCGATATAACGATCTTCGATAGAACGATATTCCCGATATGACGATGAAAAATTGTTCCCGATATAACGATATTATCAGTACACTACGGAAGCCGATAGGGGTCACAAGTTGTCGCTTCCTACTTGTCACTTCCAAGTTGTCGCTCCATTCCAGTGGGACTTCTGGTATTACAAAATGGAAGGATGGGGGGGGGGGGTAGTGCGAATCATTTTAATGATTTTAAAAGGTGTTAATATTACTTTTTTTGAAAGTATACGAGTTCATATTCAAATCCCCCACCTCTTGAAAAACTGTCTTCCAAGTTGTCGCTTTTACGCTTTCGCTTCCGAGTTGTCGCAAGTGAGAAAGAACATGGCAGCCATGTTCACGAGCTACAGTAGCGTGCTTGCACGTGGTTTTTCTTCTCTGTATATGTCTGTTTGTACGTTGTACACTCCTGTCTAGACTGATTAAACCTAGATTGAACTAGAAACAATTTATAGTGTGTTTATTTTTTTTAAAATACAAATTTAGAAGGAAACAATTTAATGATCGCTATCGTGGAATATGTCAAAGCCGCCTACACATACTCGGGTGTCTTGAATTTAATACATAACAGTAATTGAGTCATCTCTAAGGTTTCTGTCAACAGCTTTGTACGATGATATACGAAAATGACATCAGTGATGGAGCCTACTCCTCTGACTCCTATGCAAGCTACCGAAGCTTGAAGGCAATAAGAGATTTTCTAATTCCGTTGGAAGATTCAGGCGAAAGAGAGAGAGACTTTCTTTCCTCTCTTTCGGCGATGAAGGACGCGTTATTAAGACTGCAAGTCAAACAACGTGAAGGAAACCAAACTGAAGGAGTACTTTCAGGAATGAATAAGTGTTTGTTTTTTTTTTCGATAAAACGTTAAAGACGATAACAGGCGCAACTTCAAACGGTTTAAGTTTACTTTTACTTACTTTGTTTATGGACATTGCTGCATGCTTGACATGTTATTTTGTGAACCAGTTGATACTCATTACAAATGTAATTAAATAACGATATTGATATCGGAAGTTTCGATATAACGATGCATATCGATTCATATCGTTGTATCGGGAGTGTCGATATAACGATTCCTCGATATAACGATATAACTTTAATGCTCCCGTTGGCATATCGTTATATCGGGGTTCCACTGTACTACCAAAACTGAGCAACGGTGGAAAAAGGCTAGCTAACGGATACTCATATAAGGAACACGATCAAATAAGGTTGTTTTCATGTTTTTTCATGTTGTTTTTAACGGATCTTCGAACGAAGGTCAAAACAAAGACTGTAGATGTCGGAGTGGAAGGCTTGAAGTATAGAGAAGTGCACGTCAATGCAAAATGGGATGCTAAAACCATGACCTCTACAACAGAAAGGGTAAAACATTTTACTTCCTCAGACAAATTCTCTCATCCGAATTTTATTTTTATTCAGGTAACAAAATATACATCCCCATAAAGTGATAGAAGAAGCTCTTTGACAGAGGGATGTTACAGTGAAATAAATGCCGTCTTGAATGCCATCGTGGATTCAAGAACGAATATCAACTCAAAGTTTATATAACTACCTATCTAACATCAGGTTTGCTCTTATTAGGGCGAAGTGAATATAGTTTAATACACCGAGGACTTCTTAGACTGCAAAACAGTCCGTATTTTTGCGTATTCAAGTACACTCGAGCAGTCAAACAAAAGGTCTCGAACAAAGCTGAAAAGACAGAGTGAGACTGAGGAAAAAACCGACTGTTTTACAGTCTAGGACTCCTCGATACAGAGGTTCATTATATCGAGGTTCCACTGTATTGGTAAGGAATAAATTTAAAAAGGATATAGATGAATGTTTGGTTGATTTTTAACAGCAGGGAGCTTTAGAGTGTGGAGACTTCGTCAAAGTAAATATTGGAAAGAGCAACCTATAATTGTATGCCTTTGTTTCTTTCTCAAAAGTATCTGAAAAATAACACATCAAACAATCACATACTTGGCTCCATTCCGACGTGCCTTGAAATTCGTTGAAATCTGAGGACTTTTCCTGAAATTTACGAAAGAGCATTTTTCAATGTCAATTTTTGTGACTATGATGATTTTACGCTTCTATGAGAACTAATAACTTAATAAAATTTGTGTTCTATTAGTTTTCTTTACAAATTTCCTTTAAAAAACGTTGCTATCGCTATCTTGTTTTGACACAGTGAACTTATGAAACTGGGTTGACTTAAGACAAAAGCTTAGATATTTTATTCTATACTGGAGCAGTCATTACGTCCTCCCCCCAGGCTCAAGAACGAAACACCAGCCCAGGCTGGTTATAATAAAACGAAGTTTGTAACTAATTTTTTTTAAATAGGTAGATGGTTTTCTAGTCTTGGCTGTAAGCCTTCTTGATGCATTGAACAGGAAACAATGTTCGGTTGTAAGGATTGGCCCATTTTTAGTGAGCATAGAACGTGGATCTATTTTTTAAACACAGTTTATAATGTTTGAATATACCGCCCTCTATGTTTTATATTAAAAAACTTTGAATTCTTCTGCGCCCCAATTGAAAACCAGCATTAGGGTAGGTTTACGCAGGCTATTTTTCCACCATTTTAAACTGTTTTTTTTTTTTGGCCTTCTTAGTCATTGGGATCTTATCTTTACGCAGCGATTGCCGTAAGCCGAGTAAACAATTCAGCCAAGGTGGGGTTTTTGGTTACTCTGGTATAGAAAATCCCAAGGACAACAATTATTAGTTTAGGAAGTAAGCATAACTACTGAAGCACCATACCGGCAGAAGACACATCTTGCGTATGATCTCTTTTCCCCCATTTTCTGATCGTTTGAAGAACTCTATTTGAGGATTATTACTATCACCAGGTGGTTGAACACGGATCACGTCACTCTTACATTCAGGAAGCATGATCTTATTAGCTTGAACTCTGTTTAAAAAAAGTGAAATCCTTAAAAAGACAAAGTGTACATAGCTTACGTGCCTCCTATTTCTTTTAAGGCTCCATGCCTGGGCTCTTTGCATACTCATTATCAACCCTGCTTATTTATCCAATAAAACCTTTAAAATCACTCCAATTAACGCATTACAGTTAGTATTTATCTTAATGAAATTAATAGACTGGTGTAGCCTGTAAATATGGAGTGATTAGTGCAGTCTGAACTCATTCCACTGTCATAAAATTTACAACCTTTGATCTTCTTTCTAGGGTTGGATCGACAAGGACGTGAGGCCCAACGTTCTTTTTGGTGGTTTTTAGGCGTTACTCTTTCGAAAATAATTATATAATCGACACAAGTAAGGCATGTGCAAATGACCTACAAAAATTGAAAAACAATTATATTAAAAATACTCTTTGCAGTTGTGTTGTGTTGTTGTTTTAATTTCTCGCAGGCCGTGAATGCTCGCTAAATTTAATATTATTGTCTACACCAGCAGTCAGTCGGAGATTAGTATCTTCGTTCGCGTGTTAAACATTAGAACTGTGGTGGCAGATAGATGTCACCAACTGAGTAAATTAATGCGGATGTTTCAATTGGTCAATAAGTTCAAAATGATAGGAATGCTATGCTATATTTCAACTGAAAACTATAACACGAGGGAGAACGTGGTGACCATTACCATCGGTGAACCTTCCTGACTTTACAAGGAAACTTCGCTTTTCACAAGTCACAAAAAAACATTTAGAGCAATGAACACGTCCAAAAACTCACCAGGATTCTAGGATATTGACAATGGACAATGTGAACGAAAATAATTCTTCGCTGAAGCTGTCGAAATTACCGTGAATTTGGATCAGTACAGTATCTTTAGTGCAGTTATATAACAATTATTCACCGAAGTGGAGGTGGCTAGTCGTGGATATTTTACCGAACTGCGAAGCAGTGAGGTAAATATCCACGACTAGCCACCGACACTGAGGTGAATAATTGTTTTAGTATATACTAAAACAGTGAGATAATTGAGCACAAAAATGATGATTTTTAACTCAAATACTGTTGCCAACGATTACAATTTTGGCGCGTAATGACTGGGCGGCCGCGGCCGTCGCTTTTTCTTGCCGACAATTAAAACTTTTGCAGACATTTGTTTAGCTCTTGCGGGGAAATTTCTTCAAAACGAGGTGTGCATTCTTTTTGTATTTAAAATCATTCTATAACAAAAGATTATTAAATTTAGTTTTAAGCTTATTTATGAACAACTCAACTAAATAAAGTAACGCAAGACTTAAACTTAATTTGCATTTGTAAACAAAAATTTTTCCACCGGTTTTATCGATAAATTCGTGTCAAAAAGACAAAGCCTTACCTGTTAAAACTTCCAATCCGAACTTCGTCACCATCTTCGTGTATTTTGGAAACAGCTTGCTTGATTAGTTGTGAAATTTCTTTGTTTGTTTACGGCAGCAAACCGGGAAGGCATTTTGCTCGCAACTTACGCGAGTTTGGCGTCGCTCGCTCGGAGGAACTGGAGGTGAATCAGTGAATAGTGCAGGATATTCACTGATTGAGTAGCCAATCAGAGCGCGTGAAAAACACTATCCACTGTTTTAGTATATACTAAAAACTAATATTCCCTCAGTTGCCGTACGGAAAACTCGTGCAAAGCGTGTTACTGCGCTTTTCACAAACATGCGAACTCTAAAGGTCAAAAGCTGCCTTCACAATTGCGTTTTTCGCTGCCGTCAATCATAACTACGATCACAAGCAACGAACCTTGAAACACAGAAACACGCAAAATGGATCGAAATCCACCAATCACAAATCACAAACCATGACCTTTTGAACCGGTTAACTTAAAGTTTTGTTTCCTAAGAGGTCCGTTAAGATGATTGACGGCAGCGGAAAACGCAATCGTCAGTTGGCTTTTGAACTTAAGAATTCGTATGTTTGTGAAAAGCGCAGTAATGAAGTTGTCTTGAAGCCGCCAGCTGGTTTTGCTGAACGAGAAAAGAAGCTGTATTGATACCTGGACTAAATGGACTGACCAAAGCCTGTATTTTCAACCTGTTGCTTGTAATTTGTATTCTTTTAGGCAGATGAACATTTTGGCGACTGGCTTTTAAAGTACACTTTTGCTTTTATATAAGACAAAAACACTTCATGTTAAAAAAAAAACAACAACTAAACATTGGACATGTCAAACAGCAGAATCGTTTAGTTTTCCCTTAAGATAAAATAAAATTTGAACAAAATTAATAATAATAATATTGATAAAAAATAATAGTGATAATAATAATAATAATAATGATAATAATAATAATAATAATAATAATAATAATAATAATAATAATAATAATAATAATAATAATAATAATAATAGTAATTAATTACGGCAATAAACCTGTACTGCAGTTACCTGTCGAGCAGCCCGCTATTTATATATAGAGGATATTACACGGTGGCGAGAAGATATGAATTTTATGTTCGAGTGGCAAGAACAATATCTCACTCGTTCGCTTCGCTCACTCGTGAGATATTGTTCTTGCCACGAGAACATAAAATTCATATCTTCGAGCCAACGTGTAATGTTCTTTTTATTATATGGAGAAACCAATTCAACAAAAGCAAAAGGCGGGAATCGTGACGTCATTGAACGATACGACACTCACAAAGGTGACATACGGAAAATACGCCACTCGGGTCCCGGATGACGTGGCGTATGGAATCTACGAGTGGTTTAGTTTCCAGTAAAACACTCTCCTCCATATAATAATAGAGAATATTACACGGTGGCGAGAAGATATGAATTTTATGTTCGAGTGGCAAGAACAATATCTCAAGAGTGAGCGTAGCGAACGAGTGAGATATTGCTCTTGCCACGAGAACATAAAATTCATATCTTCGAGCTAACGTGTAATATTCTTTTTATTATATAAACGTACTGATCACGGCGTTTTTGATGATTTTCCGAAGATTTCCGACCACCTTCCGAAGATTTCCGAAGATTTTTCAAATTGTCCCGAAGACCAGACGAACGTTCCCGAACATTTTCCGAAAATTTCCGAAGATGTCCGAAGATTGCCGAGCACTTTCGAGGAAGACCCGAAGATGTTTCGATGATACACCAACGAATTTAAGTACAATTTAAGAGACAAACCTGATGTCAGTGAAATTATCGATATCTTCACATGTAAAAATATCGTATTTTTACGTGTGTTCAGATACCACATTTCTCGGTGGTAGAAATCCTTGTAAAACACTGCAGTTTATATAATAAAATGGGAAATACCACCCGAACAAATCATTCACCCAAAACCCAAAATACCCTAAACAGGAAATGTTTTCCACTTTTTAAAATTTTTATTATTTTTTTTTATCGGGAATGCTTAGTTTCAATTGAAATACAGCCAACTCTCCCATAGCGACCACCTCCCGTATAAGCGACCACTTTGAAATTATATAATTAACTGTTTTGTTTCTTAGTCAAATACTGTTCCAAAAAGTCTCGTAAGCGACCACAACTTAAATTTCTTAACGACCACGACCTCTTGTTTAAACCAGAAATTTTACTTACACTTTTGTTTTCTGTTTCCTGGAAGCGACCATCCGGCATAATTACGTATGATTGCAAGAAAACCATTGCTCGAATGTCAGAAAAGTTCAGTTTTTGATAGCGCTGGGTAGAGAGAGAGAGAAAGGGAGAGAGTTGACTGTAGCTGTAAAGTTATTTAATAATCTTTTTAGTCAGCTTTCTTACTTTATTTGCATTTCCTCTTCTGACAACTGTTCATCCTCAGTAGGGTATAGGGACACAAGACTGAAAAAGAAAACGTCGCCATGGCGGCATGTTTGCTCTATTGGTATACCATGATAAAGCACAATGAGGTTGGATGTAACGTTGCGCAGTTCTTCTTTTAAGTTATCTGGATAGCAACGCAAAATTAAGGCTAAAGAACCGCGAATAACAGTTTTACATAGCCAAGCTTCTAACTTTACAGTCCATGGTCGGGAAAGCCAATAACGGTGACCAACCATGGCTGTTGTTAATAGAATCGGTACAGCATAGTGAAACCATGGCCAAAACCTGCAAAAAAATGATAAAGGATTAAATTACCGTAAAATTCCGAAAATAAGCCCCTCCAAATAAAAGCCCCCAAAAATCGTAATGCAAAAAACCCTCCGTTAAATCGCCCTTCAGAATATTAACCCCTTCCGGGGGGCTTGTACTTGGAATTTGCCCTCGAATACAAAGTAAAAGAAAGCAAAAATGGCAAATTTCCTTTCCACGACATTGTAGCCCAACTGATTTTATGACGCAAATTTTCCTCCGTGCATAAGCCCCTCCGAATATAGACCCCTCCAAAAATAAGCCCCTCCAAAAGGGACTTTGAAAAATATAAGCCCCGGGGCTTATTTTCGGAATTTTACGGTAACTCCAAAAACCGTGGACGAAGATCCTGCTAGTTGTAAACGTTGGATCTCTAGAAAAGAGATCTAATCAGCCAAAATATAACTGAAGAACCAAGAACGAGAAGTCCAAAGACTACTGCAAAGCTGATTTAAGACAACGTGCATTGTTTTTTATAACAATACAGTTGTCTACTAACGTTAAAAGTATGTTCAAACTGTTATTCATTCAAAATATTTATCTAATTTTGATTGGCTCAAATCCCCTGTTTAGGATAACCAGCAGCTACCGTTGATCAATTTGGGAAGATGATTGCAGATATTGATACAGTCTGATAATGGACAGGAAAAGGGACAGAAGAAGGCGTGGTAGCTCAGCTGTTTTGGTAAAGCCAGAGTAAATGACTGAAATGGCGGAAGATTTTACTCGTTTTGCCAAAGAAAAATGGCCCGGAATTAACACCTAAAACCTTATGATAAAAAACCACACTCGACGGAAGCAAAATTCTTTTCGAAGAATATCTGCTACACTAAGCATCCCTTTATGCCCTGAACCTGCCGAGGAACGGTATTTGCCAAATGCAACCATAACAATAGGCAAAGTTTGATACGCAGCCTCATCCAATAATTCATTTGTTAATGGTAAAATCGCAGGCATCCCAGGCAAAATCTATGATAGTCCTTCCAATCTGAATTCTGCATGTAAGAAAATGAATGAGTTCGAGACCAAGATGACTTTCCTTGCCTTTGCACCGTCGTCTGTTCGTTTCCTAAGGCTTTTGTGAAGTAGATTAGGCGAGTTTCAAAATCCCTGTTGCACTTGCAATATTAACTTGAAATAAGGATTAGGGTATACAGGTAGCCTACTGTTCGAACTCGAAGCTTCTTAAATCACATTAAAATGTTCAAACGCGCTAAAATTGCATTTATAGAGATCTTCCATGCAATGATGTCTATTTCGGTTCGATAGGCTTTGTCTGGAGAAGTTTATAGTTAAAGAACTGATTAAAAGTTTAGATTTATAAAATATAGATGGGTAAGAATAAAGGAACGCCTGGGGCACACGCACGAAAGCACATTTTTCGCATACTGGAAATATATGTTGAAGATTAGTTGAATGAAGTTTTTTCTTCATCATCTCAATAATGGACATATTTTAAAAACTGGGGTCCACTAGACATCATCAACGTTAAAATTTCTAGTAGTTTGAATAAAAGAAGGGTACTGAAGCAGTATTCTTCAGCTTCAGGTCTTAACAAAACCACTCCCAAAAGGTCTGTTTCAGACTGTTCCTACTGGTCTTTCTTTTCTCGGTAGACGTGTTTGAGCAATGCCAAGGAAATAACATATTGAAATTCTGTCAGTGGTCGCTTCAAAGCCTAACTCATTGTGAAACGTTTTAGGATGGGGGGGTTCCCACATCGCTTTTACCAAACGAGACGATGCCCGGTCACGATCGTCATGATAAGCAAGGTGATATTATCTCCACTGCTCACTGCAAGCGCTTGGCTTTTATCGTTCCGGTCGTCCAGATAACAACCCTCTTAAGATAAAACTTCTTTTGAGCGCGATAAACTATCAAAATGTAAGGTAACAGTGTGCCATGGGGATCTGGGGATAGCGGAACTTACGCGTACTGAATTGACGACCAGTGATGAAAGCCATTCGCTTGAGCTGAAAAAATAACTTTCTTGTTTGGTGAGAGCAAAGCTGAGCCCCTCCAATAGAACAAAAAGTTTGAATTGAAAGTAAAAGGTTTTACGAGAAGTTATAATACATGATGAAACCTGAATTAAGAAAAGTATCGATTGGAGGAAAAGAAAAATCACGGGCTTGTGCGATGAGGTCAATTTTGGCGAGTTCAGACCATTTTTATGGGAATCATGGAGATTCGACACGAGTTCAAATTGTCTGCTCTACAGCACTTTCTGAAGTGATTTTTCGTAACCGTCCAGCCTTACTACACAGCAATGAGTGAAAAATGTCCAAGTTCCTCGGCAAAGATGGAGATGAATCATAAATCGTCAGAATAGCTACACCTTTGTTGTCATTATCTCAAAAAGAATAATATAGCCGCTTGCGTTTCAGTGTTTCTTCGATATTTCAGAACTAAATGATCAGATACGCGGCTATGTTGAGCAAATAGTATTTCCCATCATTATTCTTCTCTTCTGCCGCCTCGTTCTTCTTTTTAAAACACATCCTTCAAGAAAAGCACAGTGAACACTACTAAAAAGCCCAATGTTGAGCTATGAACATCTTGTCGTATTCACCAGGTTTTCTAATAAAAAGAATTTCAAAATATAAACGCTGGGTGGTTGTGCCACGCGGCCGGTTCCAGTGTAAACTGTAAACTCTGCTTTTAATTCACCAAAAGAGCTGACCACTTTTCAAGTAAGGTATAATGTGAAAACATCTAATCTCAGTTGCAGGCCTCTTCGCTCCCTCCCTCACCTGCCCACTGATCTGCTCAAAATTTCACGAAAGTTGAATCTGCACCAAACCAAAAATATTAAGTGGTTACTTTTTTATCCGCGGAAAAAAATAATTTGTGCCCTTAAGACACTAAGAATTGTACTTACATCGAAAAGTGGCTCACTTGGAATGTGACAACCCCATTCTCTACTTTAAAATCTTTTGGATGCAGTTCAGCCCATGCACTTGATTCATCCTTGGCGTGGAAAATTCTCATCTCACGTAACTCTTCATCCCTTAAATATACGTCCTCCAATTCTTTACGCAAAGTGAAGGGGATCGTAATTGTAGCAGGTTGCGCCAGCGTAACTTCCTCCGAGCAGAAAATGTGAATAATAGGCCCTTCTCGTTTTTTGTTATCATCACCTTGTGGTACTTCTTGCACCTATTGAGGCATAACAAAGCATGGATAGATCCTAAATTTGTTCATCACAATTTGTACGGTCCGTATGGAACGACTTAATGAACTGTCAGTCTAAAACATTTTGTTTGTTACAGTCGGTTTGGATTTCTGATCACTATTGCCATGTAAAAGGAGGCGTCCTCTTTATACGATCCATTTTCATCTAAAAGCAATCCAATTTGTTTAGATAGATCATTTTGCCTAGTCAAGTGAAGCAAAACTTCAGGAGAAGTCCGATGCGCATTTTGTAGTTATCAATCTTCGACCTTCACGATGTTTGGACGTCCTAATGAAAGATTCTTCGTGGTCTATCAATGGGTCTCCGATATACCATGCTAAGCTCCTGTCAATAGTAACTTTCTAAAGTCTAACTTTGGTAGGTGAAAAAATGGTTAATCGTTTTACTCAGTACAGTATGTATGTTGCCCAGTTACCAACCACCTTGACACTCATAACACTCGAACTTTGAGCAAAGAGAATTTCTGAATTTTCTATCGAACACAGAAAACTGAAACAGACAATCTCTTCAATTTGGCTAAAAATTAGTTATGAACGACGAGTTTTTGTCTGTATACCCCACCCACCCCCCCACAATACTTAAGCCTCTCCGCTGCACCGCCTAAGCATAAATGTATTCCATTTGCCAGAATTCTCTCCATGACAAAACACAATTTATGCTTCAATTTCCCCAGTAGAATTGCAAAGACTCAAAATTAGCCAACATGAAATATGTGCTGCGCTCTGTTAGTAAAGGCAATACAAAACACATGATGGAGTAAAATGGCTAGGTGAACATTTAACACATAGCCGGTTTATTAAACTCAGAATATCAAATCAAAATATCAACTCAAACTCTTACTAAACACGTATTGCCTGCGAAGGTGAGGGCAATGCCTGCAACAACACTAACATCACCACTGTACAGGAAAAAAAAGGCAGGAGCTGGGGAGGAGGCGGGTCGAAGGAAAAAGTTTGTGTTTCAACGAAATCAAAACCCAGGGGCACCCAACGTCAATTTTTGGAAAATATCTGTTCGGAAGACGATTTAAGATCTAGAATTTTCGGAATATTTGTTGGAAAATTTCTTGCTTGTCCGCCTCTCCTAGGATTTTCGAACATTTAAAAAATGGTATAATTGCCTTTTTTAACTGATTTTTACCCTAAAAAGGTCACCTAGAATTTTTGGGAGCCTTTTTTCTGGCTGAAATTTTCACTAGCCTTTCAGCTAGGAAATCCGAACAGACGAAAAATTTTTAGAGGATAGAAATATGCATATAATCAACCGTTTATTACATAAATATTAAAATAAGTTCAACCAAGAGCCATTACGGCTCTTGCCAAGAACCGTAATGTCCCATCATGGCTCTTGGTTCAACAATGCTATGTTTAAGTGGTTTTGAACTGTACTCTCGTTGGGTGCCCCTGAAAACCACTACATCAATTATACGAAGATTCATGACTACGACGTCGACTACGATATTATTTGTGCACATCATGGCGGATTTAAAATTCAAAACTTTATCCTCGGTACCAAGCTCCCAACTCTCCTCGCATAGTGGCAAATCATAAAAAATTAAAGGCATGGTTCAATTTTCGCATCTAACAATAGGGACCTGTAGCGCGAGAGCAATTTGGGACGGCACGGCGACCGGAAGTGATTTTTATTTCCGGTTCGCGTCAAAGGTTTTGGCGCGACGTTGTGCAAGGCCCGCGCCGACGCCAAAAAGCTGTTTTTCGCGTTGCGGAGAAAACGTGAGTAGACTTCTTCAATATGTGTGCAATATCAGTCTTCCTGTGCTCCCAAACTAGCTAGAAAGTATGAGTGAACATTGGTTTCCCTGTGGTGCGGACGAACGGGCGGGCGGTGTACGGTCACGTGATTACCAAATTTTCTGGGATGGGTAGATTTACTTACCCATGGTGCTCCGCAGGCGCGCTTCGCGCGCCAGAGCTCCGCTATTAGCATATTACATTTATTTTAGGCTAAAATGCCTTCAAAATAAAGAAAGACTCTCTTTTCATAGTCTATCAAGATGGCGAGGCCAAAGGTGAGCAATTTTTTATCTGTTTTTTTTAGGCTGAAGTTGAGTGAAGCTTATAAGGTCAAATATGTCTGCAGTGGACGAAACAAGGGAACGATCAAAAGAAAAGTACGAAATAGACCAAAAGTTACCGAAAAGCTTTCATTTTACATGGAATAATTAAGTAATCTTAAATTACGATAACTTTTCTTTCAGGCCGAGGGAATGGACGGAGGAAAAAGATGTTTTTATGTTGAGGGAAATGTTTGGCTCCAATGTTTTCGCTCACAATAAAGGAAGCCCAGCTCGTGGCCTAGCTTGGGAGGCAATAGTATCGACGCTTAATGGATTGGAGTCTCAAGAGTTTCAACTTAAAGACAAAAGAGCAGTGAGAGAGAGATGGATGTTACTAAGGAAAAACTTTACCAAGAAAATTCTCGAGGAAGAAAATGCGAGTGGAATTGCTGTGAACGACTTGACAGAGAGAGAAGCTCTAATTGAGGAGCTAGTTTCCAGAGAAGATACGCGACAGCGTCGGAAGCCGAAACTGCATCCAAACAACAGGAAAAAGAAACGGCTGAAAACATGAGAAAGAAGGCGATGGAAACCTTAGGAAAAACGAATAAGCGAAAATCCGAAAGCAAGGATGGATCTTTTTTTTTTTTTTTGTGCGACGCCACTCGTAGACTTCTTAAGAGAGAAGTCAGGAGCTGACAGAGAAATAAGACAACAGGAGCTGGAAATAAGAAAGCAAGAGCAACAAATCCAAAACCAGCAGCAGATGAACGGTATGCCAGATCCTTGCTGTGGTTCAGAAAATTCTCGATGATAAGTGAACGTCACTTTTTATTTGTTGTGCATAAGCTTGAATGTAGAAAAAAAGAATGAAACTTGACCCTTCAAACTTCAATATCTAGCAAGAGTCCATCGATCTTAAAATAAGAGTTGAACGGAGGGCCTTTTTATGCATTAAGAAGTCATGAAGCACTCAAGACCATTCCTTTGTTATTCTCTTCATGTCTGGACTTTAAGCAGCTTTTAATAAAGGCTCGTGTTTACAATAGACGTGCTTGAATTCCTACTTGGCTCTTAGACTTACAGTACAGGGATACAACAGAGAGATCAATGAGGTAGACCTAAAAGTTGGGGGGAGTTGTAGTGCTTGGGAAAGACGAGGTATGTCTTGCTTTTCAGAACCAAATTCTGCAAAACAATCCGCTATGCTCATTTCCGCAAGATCAAAGGCAGGATAGCTCTCGTAGTCGAAATCGGGATTTTCAGACTGGAACAAATCATTTAGCTTCATTCAAATAAGAAATTCTTCGTCTGAGGTAATCTTACTGTCATAACATGTCACCAGGGGATCGCGGAGTTCTTTACAACTTGCCATCTATTATTAAATTCGTTTTCCTCACTCTAAATTTTGTGTTGATTTGTGTTATGTTTACCCCGTCGCACAGAAGGTGTCAGCTAAATTAATTTTTGATTTTGGCGGGAACGGTGTCAACTATTCTTAGTCCTCCTCGGTCAATGGCGTTGCCGTCTCCCCGAAAACTGCGATGCTAAAGGTCCCTAATTATTCGCCGAAGGCTCAGTTAATATTGTTGAATAATCCCCGAGACGAAGTCGAGGGGATTATTCAATAATATTAACTGAGCCTGAGGTGAATAATAGTATAGTCACACGAAGTGATCTCAACAGAATCAGAAAGGAACCATTAAAAAACGATTAGTTTGATTGAAGGGTGAATTCATGCGTGAACACGAAGCCGTAAACATTAGATGCGCAAAAGTTAGATCTCTACAGTATCTTCAAACATGGCAAATGATAGTTTTAATCTTTTTGCATCGAGTTTTGTAAGCTTTAGCATCAACCGTTTAAAGAAAAACGCCGAAAATTTAAATTACTACCCAATTCTGAGAAGAAAAGTAGAGCTTTATTTGTTTCTGTCAACTCACCGTGAATGAGAAAGTTTTCTTTGTCGCTTCTTGCAAATGCTGTCAACAGCGGCTACGATCAAGGTGAGCGTTGTTTATTTCCAACGTTCTTTGCCTTGTTAACTTGCTGGCACGTACAATTTTCGAAAATACTTGCCTTCCTCTTTTCTCCATAAATTAACTTCTATTTATAGGCAAAATTGGTCTCGCGAGAAAATCCCGAAATCACAAAACAAAGCGACCTCGCTTTCCTCAGGGACCATCCAGCGACAATTTTCGGAAAATATCTGTTCGGAAGACGATTTGAGATCTAGAATTTTCGGAACATTTGTTGTAAAATTTCTTGCTTGCCTTCCTCTCCTAGGATTTTCGAACATCTAAAAACTACTGTAATTGCCCATTTTTAACGCATTTGTACCCTTAAAAGGTCACCTAGAATTTTCGGAAGCCCTTTTTCTGGCTAAAATTTTCGAAAAAGTAAGTTTTGATCCATATAATTTTCGGATCACTAGACTTTCAGCTAGGAAATCCGAACAGATAAAAAATTTTTAGGGGATAAAAATATGCCTATATCTACCGTCTAAATACTAAAATACGGTTAACAACGCTATGTTTAAGTGGTTTTCAACAATATTCTCGTTGGGTGCCCCTGTTTCCTCTGTAGTGGTAAACATAGCTTCGAGCGTACAAAAAGTCAGCTACAGTAAACCACTTCACAATAAATTACAATGTTTAAACACCATGAAGTCTTTTCTTGCCTTCAAAGTCATCAGCACTTGGATATTCGTGTATTTTCAAAAAGGTTTCAGAGGCTTTAATTTACTACGAAACTTTGGCAAAACACCCAGTTCACGAGAGGGATTTTGTTATGCTTTACATTCACCGCCTAGAGCGGTGAATATAACGTCATAGTTCGAGATAGCTAACCAATATCAGATCGCTTGAATTTCCAATTTTTGTGTATATACTAAATATAAATATAGTTTTTTTTCATTTGGCTTAACGAATCAATTGCTCTGATCCGGGATGACACGGTAACTTAATAGGTAACGATATTGTGCGTTTTCCTCAGGCGGTAAGTCTTTGGCCTCAGGAAGAAAGACGGGCTTATCAAAATCAAAAATGCCACGCTATTTTGCTATTGTATTAACCCATCTAAATCTGTCAATATTTGAAATGCGTACAATTTCTACAATTAGGACATGATGGTGATAAGGAAAGTAGAAAGCACGAGCGCGCAGTTTCCGTATATCGGGGTTGACAATATATGAGTTCCTCGGCACAGAACGGTTTTTCTCACACTGAAAGAGGGTCATAACCCCGAAAAGTTTGTGGTTTTTGAAAACATTTGACACTTTTTGATATTTCTTTACCGAGTATCACCTTATCAGGTAGCTATTGAAGCACAAGTGTCACGCATTCCTGACGGTTTTTTCGTTAAATATTCACTTAAAAAAGTATCCACTGTCCGTATTTATGGTGTCGGCATTAAGCGGGTTAATTTTAGAGAAAATATATGACCTTTTCTGTCGGGACAAAGAAAACTACCACTTATATGCGGAAGTCCGTATTTTAAAAGAGGGTGTCCGTAGAGTGGGGTTCCACTGTATAGCTGATAGTTACAAGGTTTCCCCGATATTTTGAATGGACCGGGAAGAAGAATACGCTTGACCGTGTAAAACTTTACTTTAAAGACATGAAGATGAAAACAGCTTTTGCTTCAAAAGTAGGATCAACCTTTTCATGGCAGTCTTTGCAAATAAAGAACATTCCTGGTGACCCTATATTCTTTGTGTACAACTCTAAGAATTAAAGAGAGATGGGCATGACTTTTGGAAGGAGAGACTCTAGGATAGAGGTTGAGAATACACTCAAGTTCACCTTAAGCTAGACCTTTATGGGTTAAAATACTGCCTTCATGCCCTTTAATGTTGTAAAGTAGTAGAATTGTTTAAAAATTTCAATAATGGCATTTCCCCACCTCGGAAAGACTTTTGCGACAACTGCTTCACGGTGGATACTTACGACTTGAAAAATGGCTAACAAATGTCCCAGGGGAGATAAAGTTGCGCTTATTTGACAAAAGCGCGAGTTTTTCCCGCTAATTAACTCACTGCTGCGTGTAATTTCCAGCTCGGTGTTGAAAACCACACTGGCGGAAGATTATCCCTGCGGAGTTTTTGTTCACTTTAAACGTTAAATTGTTAAAGCACATTTGAAAATTCTACAGGTTCTGTTTTGCCAATTCAGTTTAATTATTACCGAAAATGTTCTTGAGGGAGAATATTCAACAACCAATCTCGTTAGCCTTTTTGCACGTTAATATGCTCGCCGCCTTTTTAGTGAGGCAAGTCTATTTAGCATTATTCGAACATTTTATTAGTATTTTACTGGAAAATCACTATTTTTCTCAGATAAAATAAAAACTTAAACATTTCAGTTAAGAAAAAATAATGACTTAAACTGGAAATTAAAAAATACAGATATTCGAATTTCACCTCAATATAGCCTTATATATAGAACACTATATTTTGCCCCAGTAGAATCTTCTATTTCGTTAAGGTGGCTCGACTGGATTTTTCAGGGTCAATACCTCCCAAGTTTGGACATTAACTACGTTGGCATTAACAAAGATTGGGAAAAATGATCACCAGAGTTGTATTAGATTGCCCAGAAACGATGAGTGATTCAAAATGTGTTAAGATTAATGTTAGCAGGTGACATCGGAGTTGTAACAGCAGGGTAATGACGTCATTACCTATTTTATATTTTTCTCGCAGCCAGCCGTATTTTCTCGGTAATAGGAGGTTTTTCAACCATAAAAACTTCATCCCAAAATATCTCGATAACACTCTCATAGATAGCGTTGGGGGTGGGGGAACAAGTTTCAGTGAACGAGTTTGGAAAAAACTCCCAGCGCCAAGAAATACGGCTGTAAGTAGAAACGGAAATGACGCCATTTCGTTGCTATGACAGCTCCGACGTCAACAGAACAGTGATTATATAACCAATTTTCATCTTTGTCTGATAAAGCTGTTAGTAGTGATCCTTTTTCTATATCTCTGTAAACGACGATTAGTAAATGCTCAAACGCCGTGAGGTATTGGCCTTGAAAACGCAGGTCGAGACACCTTGATTGAGGACCCCACTGAGTAATAGGTTTTTATCTCCATAAAAGCACCGGCTGATGTTTTGTTAGAACTTTAATAAATCAAATACCTTTACTGTCAACGAAAAGTCTTCATTCACAGGTACGCAACTCTCAGGAACTGTCACGCTCACACCCGGAAACTCTGTCACTGTGCAGTTAAATTCAAGTGCTGCTGAACTGGGCTTCGAGAATGTAAAAGACCTCAGACGCCAGATCGTAGCAAACGAAGAGCAATCTGTTATATCAGATATCTCCGCTTCAGCAAAAGGATACATCCATTCCGGGAAAATCCGTTGATCATCTTCACTGAGATCTGTAATCAATGAACAAAACAGTACACATAATAGAGACGACCAAGTACAGTGGTAAAAACTTAACTGGCTTGTAGGACTGTCTAAAATGAATATTTAAGGTGGCTTTGCATCTCTTTTACTGAAGGCGGGGCTTTTTTAGAGTTTTTCGCTTAAATGCTATCACAGATTTGCATCTTTGCATCTTTGCCCCATGTAAGGCAGTCGTGGATACTGGATTCAGCGAGCCATTCCAGCGCTGTGGATTCCCGAAAGCAAAAATGGCAGTCAATCTCGGTTGCAATGTTAACGTCAATGTTGACGTACACGTAATGATGACTTAAAATTATTCTCCGACAAATTTTAGAAAAAGTCGGTTATAGATTTAACGGTTTTGATTTTGAAGTTATTAAAATGAAAAGCGACGGTGGCCTTTAAAGCAGGTAACGCACTCGTCCTTATGGATTTTCCTCATATGTTCTTCGACCTCTTCGATATACATTACGCGTTTATAGCCTATTCTACTTTAAATATTGTCTCTTTTGTGTATTTATATATCAAATAAATTTATTTGCTTTTTGTCGTCTAAATTTATTTATCTATTTATTTATTTTTTGAAGGCCGTAGGTTAGAAAACTGTAATAGGTTATTGCGCTTTTTCTTTAAATAAAGTTATTGTACGACCTTAAAATTGTGTTAATTTTTTATTAGTATAGGTAATAGCATGATTTGTAGTGATATTTGGCATAAATACCACGAGAGATATTTCGAAATTGTTATACGTGCCGTTAGGCGAGTGAAATTAGAGACAATTTTGAAATATCACGAGGGGTATTTATGCCAAATATCACTACAAATCATGCTATTATTTGTTTATATTATACTACCCGCAAAGGTTTTGTACTTTTCACAAGTAGGTATTTCAAATTAAGCTGGAATACCACTGTTCTTAGCCAATCAAATTGCAGAAATTTCTCATGTAGTAGTATAACTATACTCACAACATTTGACAAATTTTAAAATTCGATAAGATCGATGAAGTTTGAGATAGTACGAATTCACTTTCTAAAAGACGTATTCAGTTTGTTGTCAGCCAGAAATTTTGCTACCATGGCAACGTGAATTAACGACTATCCTCTCTTTAATGGAATGGAACCAAGGAGCGTTTTACCTGAAGGTTTCCGGACGTTTTTGGTCTCCAAATCCTTCCACTCATTCTTTTCCTTGTTCACTGACGCTTTGATCACAACTTCATATCCTCTTAAGTCAGGGCAACTATAACGCAAATCCACCTTCACCTTTTCTTTAGAAACCTTGCTGGACTTTTCAATGGGTTGAAATTGTATCACTTTGCTAATCAAAACTTCATCTCCAATAAGAAGTGCTGAGCCTATCGTGGGACCTTGTAATTGGAAACACATATTCATCGCAGGTGTCGTCACAGTCGTGAGAGGAGATACAACGCAAACACCCACATCTTCGTAACAGTTCAACAAGGCTTCTTCCAATATAAAGCGTTCTCTGTATATTTGAAAAAAATATATATACATATTATTTAGCTATACCGGCATCTTTATTTTATTTACAAGTCGCTTATGTTGTTTACTTTCCCTTCAACAAGTTGTAAATGATACGCTTTTAAATCAAGCGATAGCGCATCTTCAAAGTAGCCTTTATTTTGTCTAACATATGGGAGTTTGAACATGTCATTTTAAGAGCAAAGGAACTTACCGAAGTACTGGAAAAAAATCTCTTACGCAGAGAAAGGCCGAGGACCAATAGGGCGCTTAAGCAACGAGAACGGCAAAGCAATAGGTTTGATTAGCAAAACAACAACTTTGCACGTGCATCACGCTTTTTTGCACGTTTCTTTGCCGTCGTTGCCCGACTACAACCTGAAAGTGCCTGAATTCACGTTTTGTCGAGGACGGGAACACAAGAAAACAACTTTCTTTTCTTTTCCTGAACTTTGATACAGTCCTTTAGAATTCAACTCCAAAAACATTTGCCAACATTTGTCGAAGTAAACGAGATGGAATAAGCGTGATAAAGTTTGAAGTGGCGCGAATTCGCTTTTTAAGTGACGTTTTTGTAGCCGTCGCCGTCGTTGTTGCTTAAGCTCCCTAATAACAACCCAAGCCGGTATACGGCGTCACCTGCGTCATGAGCACTCCCGCTGCGTAATATCCATTATAGACCTCTTTAATTAGCTTATGTATCTTTTGTTTTTCTAATACAGGTCACGTGATAACACTCTAGAGAACTGTTTCTTCCAAATTAATAATAATAATAACAATAATAATAATAATTAAAGTTCTTAAAAACGCATTCTATATATAAATGTTTCGAAGCTTTTTACAACTAAAAGAAAGAGCTCTCACGAAACAGATACGTTTTCAAAGCCCTTTTAAAACTATCAACAGAGTTACTTTTAATTGTCAGGTCTAATGGCAAGCGGTAGCTGATTCCATAACTCGGAGCAATTGCTACAAAAGATCTATCACTGTAAGTAAGCGTAGTAGTCTTGGGAATAACTAGGAGGTTGGAATCACTAGAACGAAGAGAACGACAGGGACTGTAATGATGTAACAACTCATTAATATACACCGGGGCAAGGCCATTAAGAGATTTGTACGTAATCAACAATAACTTATAAAATAAAAATTATTCTGTTCTTAACAGGAAGGCAGCGCAATATTATCGGTCTTCTTTAAGCACACACTTAATCTTGCCGCGGTATTCTGCAATCTCTGAAATTTCTCAGTTTCACGAGAGGGAATTCCATAGAGCAAACTGTTACAACAATCCAATTTCGATAAAATGAAGGCAAGGAAAATGTGCTCAGTATCCGTTTGCGAAAGATATTTTCTGATTCTGCCAATAGAATGAAACGAACGCGAGAGAGCGCGACAAGTGTTGTTCACATGGGGAACAAAGGTGAGGTGTGAAGAAAGCGTAACACCGACGGCTTTGACAACACTAGTCGGCTGAACGTACTGATCACGGACTTTTAATCGAAGCCATCTGTTCTGCAGGTGAAAAACGCGAAGAGAAATGGGTTATCTCAGTCACTGATCTTTGACGGAATACAATTTATTTCGGCATATTCCATAAATTTCAACTCATGATATCATTTAGACACAAACTGACATTTTCTACAACAACGGCGCGTTTCCCGTTACGCATAAAAAGGTAGAACTGGGTGTCGTCGGCATACATCATTGCGTCGAAGCCGTGTGCGGAGATGATATCTTCAAGAGGGGCGATATACAGCGAGAATAACAGCGGTCCAAGGAACGGCCCGTGCGGACAAGACCAATATCTTGGTCGAGAAAGAATTTTACTCCTTCAAGTAATTGGTTTTCGAAACCTCCAACCAGCGATTATAATTGCGGCAGGCTTGATAGTAAATTTGCTTGACGATTGATAACTCAGAGTGAATTGAAATTTTCTTTCAAGGCGCCTTTTAACACGATTTAATTCTCGAAGACCGTCTGAGAACCAAGGCGCATATGGCCTAAAGGTTATATTCCTTGTTTGTTCTGGGGCGTGCTTGTCAAGTAGAAGACACAAAGTATTATCATACGCGGTCATCATGCCGTCCAAGTTATCAACTGATTCTTTAGAGACGACACGGCAGATGTCCTTCCAAAAAGCATCAAGATCGATGTCCCAAGTCTTCCGATGCGTGACAGTTATAGGGGTGGCAGGAGGCCGCGGTAAATTTGTGAAGCACAAAACCAGTTGATTGTCAGAGAAAAGATCTGGTAAAATTCTTGTATGAGAAATTAGAGTATCCATTTCGCGAGTGATGAGAAGATCCAATGTGTGTCCCAGACGATGGGTAGGGCCATTACAGTCAAGGCGGGTCAAGGGTACCCCCCGAGATTCTATTAATGAACTGATTATTTGAAAAATGAATCCGTTGGTGGTTCCGGTAAATAGTGTCAAATTCAAATCGGCATTCCTGCATGTGTAATGAGCAGTGAATATTTTACGAGAACTTCTCTGTATTTGGTCAGATTGAAAATCTTTGAATGGGTTAAATTTGGTAGAAGACCGTTTACATCAAATCCAGGGAAACTGAGCTGGTAGAAATTACGTAACTGCCTCGCGTGTGAATTCACGGCTCATTTAATACGCATGCAAGAATGCAGAGATGAATCTGAAATCTACAGTTACCAACGGATTCAACTTTCGGTTAACATAAAATTCATCAATGTAGTCTTGGGGGGTACGCTGGACTGTAACATGCTGTTTCAGATCAACAGAAAAAAGGTCTGTTTGTATTTAGCCTGAATTTCATTCGATTGCTTCCAGTCGTTTCCTCCTCTCAGCAACGTCTGAATCGACCAGCCGTTAACGCCGTCCAGTGACGTCACTACTACCCGAAAACCGGGTAGCGATTTTGATTGGTTGACTGTCTAAACATTCGCATAATTATGTATACCGTATTTATTCGAATAAGAGCCCAACCTCGAATTAGCGACGACCTCGAATAAGCGCCCATCCTAAAGGCAGAAGAAGTTAATGGGCGCCCAGCCTCGAATAAGCGCCAACCCCTACCCCATCCCACCTCCCTCCCACTCCCTTGCCGCTACCACCCAAAAAAAAGAATAATTACTAATTTGAGACTTCTCCGAAGACGGAGTTTTCTTCAGGGTGTTTTCCAGAAACCTTGCTTTGTTACATCTTCGCGTTTTGTTATTACCGTGTTCTTGCAAAATATACATACTACACTTGTTGAAAATGGTGAAAATTTAATAAGCGCCCAGCCTCGAATAAGCGCCCACTCTCAATGTCCAAAAATTCAATAAGCGCCCAAGGCGGATAATCGAAAAAATACGGTAATTATGAGAAATTTTTGCTGGATTGTCGCTTGATATTCAGCGGATCGCATCGGTGGCATGCCTGCGTAGAGTTCAAACATTTCGATAATCTTTATCGTAAACAGCGAAATCGCCCTTGTCTTCGAAACTGAATTGCTAAATTGAACTGCGAATGAAGAATCATTGCGGAGAGTCGGTAGGTTTTTCATTTAGAGCCGCTTTGTGGTTTCCGAAGTGATTTTGTTCATGCGAAGTTTCTGAAGACCAATGTCACGTTGTCATTCGACCTTCTTTTCGCCATTTTCACCGTCAAGAGTAATGATTCTGTTAGCTTTTCTTTCTTGTCTCCTTGTTTTTTTTTTTCTTCGTTAAAGACCAAATAGCTTCTTTTCAATTTAAGGAAATTGTTGTGTTTTTGAAGTAACTGTTTCGTGTTTGTATTTGTTTCATTGCGAGATTGCGCCGAGTTCAATTACAACCGGTTCAGAGTACTGCATGCAGTTGATAGTTTAAACGTCAAAAACATGAATTACGATCGAAAAGAGTAAAGCAATTCTGTCAGCTGTTCTGTATCATGTAAACATTTCTAAACGATAATTTCTTGGTTTGCCACTTGAAAATCGTGTTTTGCTTTTTGCATGAACTTAAACCAAAGGAGTAGTGACGTCACTGGACGGCATTAACGGCCGGTCGACTCAGACGTTACTGAGGGAGTAATAAGGACTCGAAGTAATCGGATGAAATTCAGGCTAGTTTGTATTGTCATCGACGTGAAATTTGAAATCACCACAAAGAAGAAATTGACAGGATGTAACAGTCAACTCCTGTCAAGACGTTTTTGAGTTGAGAACTCGCGTTTTGATGAAACCAGAGGTTCAGAAACGTGCGTATAAACACAGTTAGATTTCATGTCCAATATAACATTTGATGTCCAATATAACAGTTTTCAACCCGTGTATGCTCTTTGTTATGTTAGAACTTTAAAAGCGTATGGTAGATTTGCTTAATGATTTGCATTTGGCGCCAAAACCGCGTTCCCGATCCAGTTCTGCTCGGCCAGCCATGCCGTTCGTGAGTCAAGAACGTCTGGTGCTAAAGTTTCCTTCTGTCACAAGGTGAAAAATCTTGTTACCAGAGGTGACATTTAAATCAAAATGTTCAAACGTAGAGAAAATACAGCCTTCATTCCGCGTAAAGTACGCAAAAACGGGGAACAAAAAAACACGCAACTTGTCTTGTAACATTGCTGCAAAATGAGTTGAATAGCGATGTTGCGCGTTTTACCGCTCACATCAAACCTGTCTTGCAACAAATCAGGTTGTTAACAGGTTTGAACGTGGGTGGTAAAACACGCAACATCGCTATTCAACTCGTTCTGCAGCAATGTTGCAAAACAAGTTGAACGTTTTTGTTGCCCGTTTCGTCGAAGCTTAACATGCACTTGCATCTGTATGAACAATTTAAAAGAAGACAAAGGGTCAAGTTCCCTTCAGACCTCTATTGGGAAAACAACAATACCAGCTAAAGAAGACTAATATGCCCATGATGCAGTCTTTAGTACTCTTCTCAGATCCCCTCCACACGTATCCGGATATTTGAATCCGCAACTTTTTCTTTCCGGATACGGCTATCTTCCACACGAATCTGGTGAATCCGGCAGACAATTCCGCAACTTTTTGAATCGGCTCTTCAGAGTGGAAATTTTTGAATATGCTATGAATCCGGAATATCGTATGGACGCTAAACTCGGAAATTTTTTTATCCGGCGACATAACAAGATTAAGCCCAGTTCTTTACCGTAGTTGACAAGCTCGTTCCCAGGTTCTTTCTGTTACCCGTCGATGCATATTGCAAGATGTAATTTTCGCGCGCTTTAAGACGCGTGCTCCGTTGCCAATATTCCCAGAGGAGTCTTGGGTACTAGAGTGAATACAGATACGTATCGGAAACGTGTGGAAGGAAAAATTTGATTTGAATACGGATACGAGCAGACGTGGAAACTTTTGAAATCGGAAATTAAGAAAAAGTTGCGGATTCAAAAATATCCGGATGGGTGTGGAAGGGGGCCTCAGTCTCTCTTGTGTTTATACTAAAAATTCATTATAGGCCATTGAAACTTCACGGGATGAGACGTAATGCATACAATTTACATTATACCTTGAAACTTTAAAAAAGCACGATGGCGTTGATAAAATAAAATAAAATAAACAAACAATATGAGTTTTCCTTGCTCGGATAAAAAGTCAAGGGTTTTTACTTTTTCACAGTTTTCACAGTCTGAGCAAACAGCCGACATTAGGGAGCTTAAGCAACAACGACGGCGACGGCTACAAAAACGTCACCTAAAAAGTGAAGTCGCGCTGCCTCAAACGTTACCGCGCTTATTCCATCTCGTTTACTTCGTCAAATGTTGGCAAATGTTTTTGGAGTTGAATTCTAAAGGACTGTATCAAAGTTCAGGAAAAGAAAAGAAAGTTGTTGTCTTGTGTTCCCGTCCTCGACAAAACGTGAATTCAGGCACTTTCAGGTTGTAGTCGGGCAACGACGGCAAAGAAATGTACAAAAAAGCGTGATGCACGTGCAAAGTCGTTGTTTTGCTAATCAAACCTATTGTTTTTTTTGCCGTTCTCGACGCCACCAACGGCTTTTCCGCAAAATGACGTCTGAGAAACGAGCCCAGAAATTCTATACTGATGACGCGTCACTACCCCGATCTGGGTAGTGCTTCTGACGGGTTGAAACACATTTGCCACTCGGCACGACCAATCAGAAGCACTATCCAGATCTGGGTAATGACACGTCATCAGTATGGAATTTCTGCGCTCGGTTCTCAGATGTCATTTCGCGCGGAAACTGTTGGTGGCGTCGCGAAATGTCGGCTGTTTTGTCAGTTTTCAAAGCATTCAACATTTTTCGTCCACATAGTATTCTTTGAAGATCACTCAGAGAGGTCGATATAAATAAAGAAAACGGACTAAAACGCACATGTCAGTACTTACGCAAAGACTGCTTTACGATCCTCTTCTGGATGCTGTTCTTGATGCATCGAATCTGAAAGCATTTGTTCTCATCAACAAAGTTTTAAAGTAGCTGTCCTAGCGGTAGGACTATCCAAGGAGGTTAATATCATCTGTATCTCGGAGTAAAGGTTCGACAATATTTTACACCATTAAGTTAAAAAAAATAATTCTTGACAAGAAAAATGTGCTTTAACCTTGGCTTAACCCTGAGTTCTTGGTCTCAGGAAGTATGATCACATTTCAGCGATCTTTCCGCCTTCGAGGTGCTTCATATTGAAACCGAAAGAAAAGACTAGCCGGAAAGTCCTGTAAAGGGAGTCTCAATAATTGTGTGTATAAATTATGTTGATAAAACATTCCACTTCTAGCATTCTCACTCAGTGTTGCTTTAAAGTGCAAATCACTCCAAATTTGCAAAACTTGGACGGATTCTACGCGCTTTCAGCTTTCAGACGGGGCACAATTTGCGTGAAGCGGATAAAACTAGCGGCCTCCGTGCTCGGTTAAAGAGTACGAAATATGCCTATTTGAACAGCGTTGGTCAGAAGGTGGTACAGATAGTTACTTGGGTTGAGTGAAGAAATAAACACTAAACGACTGGTTCCGAGGGAAACTTAGCTGTTTCCCCAAGGACCAGTCTTTAAGTGACTAGTTGGAAATTTCGAAGCTGGAAATTCATTAAACCTCCTGTAACGGCGGTCGTCGGTCAACATTCGCGGGTAACAGTGCACTGTTACCTCTGACGTTATAGATTTTGCAATGTTGCCTGCTCAGAGAATTTGGCGGGAAACAGTTTCATTGTCAGATGAGACCTCGAAGTAATCAACGAGAGCGCGTGCTGTTGGGAAGAAATTTCCAGCTATGTTTAAAACAATACTATTCGCCAAAGCTGCTTCTCGGGGATTATTCAACAATATTAACTGAGCCTGCTTTTCCTCGGCCCCTCGCGGCTCCCTTCGCTTGAAATAAAACACCGTTATACACCGATAATGTAGGATCCTCATGTTTCATTTTCATCATTATTGATAATTTAAAGTTACTGACAAAAATTGTGTTTCTATAGTACCGAATAGTAATTTTCATTGTCTGATGTCTGCTTTCTCTTTATGAATTTCTAGTCTAAATAATTTCTAATTTCTGGAACTTTTAAAGAGTACAAACGTTCACGAAGCAATTAAAAATGAAGGAATAATAAACCTGGACAACAAAACAGGTAATTTTTTTTTCGATTTTATCTCTTATTTGTACGTCAAATTTAAGTCAGCCTCCGAGTAAGGCTATGTTCGCACGAGCTTATATACCGGACAGCTTTCGTGAAGACACGAAAAGCTGTTAAGTAAAGTGTAAACACTATAGAGATCGGCGCAGCGTCGCTTCTCCCCGTTGCAGAAATCGCGCCGAAATCATCGTTCTTTAATGTGTGAAGCCCTATTCGGTATGGCTTTCGTGCGGGCGCATGGTAACTGGTATTGTGTGAACCAAGAGACTATAAAGGGGACAGAGAGGGCATCCCCCATATACACCCTATTCCAAAAAGGAATCGCTGGACTCTTTGACAACCCGTGAAATCAGTTTAACTCGAAGTTGTCGTAACCTCAGTGCTTTAATAAAATGAGAAATTTCGCCGGTCTATTGAAACCGGTCGTTTGTACAATTTAGGGAGTTTAAGATCCAACGACGCGGACGACAACTAGAACGTAAAAAGAACAATAGGTTTAATTAGCAAAACAACAACTTCGCACGTGCAACACACTTTTTTGTTCATTTCTTTCCCGTTTTTGCACGACTAAGACGTGAAAATGCCTAATTTCGCGTTTTATGGAGGACGTAAATAAGCAACGACGAAATTTTATTTCTCTTTCTGAGCTTGAATATGGTCCCTTGAAATTCAGCTTTAGGAGGGTTCGCCTACAATTGACAAAGTAAGTGGGTAGGAATAATCGCTGTAAAGACTGAAAAAAATAAACATCAAACCAGAAATTGCTCTCTTCAAACTGTAGATTATAAATGATCCTGAGAGAATATTCAGTGTGTTAAGGATTTCCCTGCTCTACTGTTAGCTCTATACAAGAGAGGAAGGGCGATTCTTTTTTAATTTCGGTTTCGCTGACACAGCTTTCGCAGAAATCTCGCTGTAGTCGTTTTCGTCGACAAAAGGAATAGCAAAATCGCTCTCCGCGTCTTCCCCCATTTTGTTCTGCGTCATTTCGTGAAGGACGGTTGGCTCTCAGCGTGGGTCATCCACGCGGAACACATTCGCGCTATGTGATTGGCTGTTATCTAATCCCCCTTGAGATCTGTGGTGTTAAAAATAACTCGAGACGAATTACCTATGGAATAGGGTGTATATGGGGGATGCCCTCTCTGTCCCCTTTATAGTCTCTTGGTGTGAACATAACCTAAATGACAACTGATTGATGGCTCATGCAAATTCAACTGACACTGCGTCCTCCTCATCTAAAATAGGAAAATGGCATATTTTGGTCAAGAAAAAGCAGTGAGAGTTGCAGGAAGCAGGGTGTACATCTTCGCTCAAATTTCCAGGGAGTGTCAGCGGGCTACGTAAGATCACGTAAATGTGGTATACTTATGTGTGTGATGAACAAATAAAGTAACTAAATGAATTTTCAGATCGCTATGCTTACCTGAAATAGCTATCGACATGTACGGCTGTCGCTCTTTGCTCAGCTTCAAAAGATGATTCAATCCTTCGTCGTCAGATTTCAAAGGATTTCCTTCCAGATTTAGGCCTCTAAGATGGGTTAGTTCACATATTTCATTCGGAATTGCTCTCAGGTTGATGTTGCTGATGTACAACACTTCGAGTTTTTTCAGCTTTCTGATACTGGAAGGAATCTCTGAAAGTCTATTATTACTTAAGTTCAGCCATACCAACTCTTGCAAATCAAATATATCCTCGGGAAATCCTGTGAGTTGGTTGTCGTTCAGAAACAGTTTTTGAAGTTTCTGCAGATGCTTGAAATTAGAAGGTAACTCTGACAATCGATTGTGTTCGAGGTGCAGAACTCTTAGTTCCTTCAGGTGAACGGTCTCATCGATCCCTTGTAATTGATTATTGTTTAAGTACAGTTCTTGTAGCTTCGATAATTTTCTAACGCTTGTTGGAAGCTTTGTCAACTTGTTGCCATTGACGCGGAGAACAACTAGATCAGCCAAATCACCAATATTTTCAGGTAGTTTGGTTAGATTGTTGTCGCCAAGGTCAAGGACCTTAACACCAGCGAGATCAGTGACGGCCTGAGGAACGTTTGACAACCGTTTTCCTCGCAGGTCCAGGACAACTTGTCCATTAATAACTCTTACATTTTTCGCGAGCTCTGATTTTGAAACGTCATCCATCATTTCGTGAATGCAGTGATCTTGTCTTTTCCTGAGTCTCTCTAAATAAAGTAATACTATTAGTAACTTATATCATTAATTTGAAATTTATAAAAAATATCTCTCCTTTTCTGATTGGCCTTAATATAACCTGCTTGCGGAGACCAAATTTAGAAGGTGTTTGCTATTATTCCACTATCTACTACTATCTAGTATCCTAGCAAGTTTTTCATGACACATCAATCCTATTCAGACCGCAGGGGCTTTTGAGGGCCCCTCTAACGAAAAAGTCGAGTAACTTTTAAAACGTTCACGCTACATACTTTAATTGAATTTAAAATCGAATTTTTCTAAAAAATCATCTGGGAGCATTTTGCAGTAGTCGAGACGTGTATGTCATCATTGACGTTACCATGGCAACCGAGTTTTGACAGCCATGTTTTTCAAAATTTGTATTTTTCTGTACAAAAGGTTTTATTTCTATGTTTACTTGAATTATTATATTACACCTAGTTTAGCATTGTTATCAAATTCATTACAACCGTTGATGTAATCGAGGCTTTAAGGAATTAAAAATGACAAAATGGCAGATGCAAGGTTCGAGTTTCAACAGTGTTCATTTCTCTCGGCGGGGATTTCATAACTTGCATAACGTTTGCTTCCTAAGCATCCTTTTATACTTAAGGTGATGTTACTCGGGACGATTCGCTACGACGATTTTTATTTAGCGCAACACAGCGTTGCAATGTTGGGACAATGTTGTAAGTAACTATTCCGGCGAAACAATGTCGCAACAATGTTGCAACGCTGTGTTGCACCAAAAATCATCGTTGCGAATCGTCTCGTGTAACATTGTTGAGGCCTCAAATGTAATAAATGACCCTAAATGTAATAAAGGTCCCAAATGTAATAACTTTTGGTCCTAAATGTACTAAAGGTCCTAAGTGTAATTCTTTCAGCTCTTATTACGCTTAGGGTCATAAGAAGATTTCATAGTGTTTGCTTTCAGCCTTATTACAGGTTAACGGAGCGCCAGAATGTGTCTAGGGAATATCAAGCACTAAATACCCTAGGCAGATCCCCTATATAGCCATTTGAGTAAAAACTTATTATTATTCATGTGGTGAAATCCTGGAAAAAATGTAAGCATAAAAATTCACTTCAAGAAGTACTCCTGGTAGAAATTAAAATCAAAGTCAGGAAGTCACAAAAACTATCAAGATATACTACCCTTAATATCTTGCTGTTTATAGATAACTTCGTGTTCACAGCATTCTGTATGGACCGACCGACATACTCTTTTGGAAAATGATAAAAAAAAGAACATTTCTTTTTTGGGCGCAACATTAAAAAACCCCATAGGCAAAAGTAGTTAATTTACTACGATGATCGTTTCTAATGAACATTAATACTTCCTTCAATTACTAAATTACTACTGTATTTTGAAAACTTTTGTGTAGATTCCATTTGTTTATAACTCGCGTTTTACGATGTAGGGATGTAGTAGGAAACACGATCGAGACGTAGTTAATTTATAAGTGTTTCTCCTACGTCTTGAGCGCTCTAGCCCCTTTCTAAGTTTATGAATATCTATGAAGACTACAATAGGGCGAAGAAAGTGAATCGCCAGCTGGCTATTAAATTAATATCGCATCAGACCGTCGCATGTTTCAGTCAGGGACTTTATCAAGTTTGGGGCTGTTATACTACATACATGCAGTATACTGTTAAGACTTCCATCACATTTAGGGCTAAAACCTTTTACACATATAATATTATTAGACCCTTTATTACATTTAGGACCAAAAGTTATTACATTTAGGACCTTTATTACATTTAGGGCCAAAAGTTATTACACTTAGGACCTTTATTACATTTAGGGCCAAAAGTTATTACACTTAGGACCTTTATTACATTTAGGGTCATTTATTACATTTGAGGCCTCAACACCTTTAAATTCTCTGAGCTATGATTTATATTCTGTCTTGGACAACCAAAAAGCATCAAGTAATTCTTTCAAGGCTACTTCTTTCAAAGTTGAAAAAAATTCAAGGGCTTTTCAAGTATGGGACTTGCACAGAAATTTAAGGCCTTTTCGAGGACTTCCCCTAAAATTCAAGGACTTTTCAAGACTGTACGAACCCTGACATCACCTTTACATCAAATTTCGGCGGATCCAACATGGCGGATGGTTACAGTTCCGTCATCAGGACATCACTGTGTTTCATTTAGTTATGAAAATATTTATTTATTGTAACTATCAGGTTCATGCCCAATTGCACAGAACAAAAACAGTGGAAAGTACTTTACAGGCATTTTTCTAAATCTTCCTCGCGTGACATCACGCTTCGTCGCGCAATCCGAAGTTTCCGAATATTTTAGCACTTCGTACGAGGAATTAAGATGCAGAGAGGAATTCAAATAAGGTCACCGAACTACAGATTGTTTGTAGTTTGACTGGGACTGGTATGACTGGTATGGGCATTATATTATCTCCTGAAATGTTGACCACAAAATTCGCCAATCGTCAAGAATTAAATGGCTTATTCGGAGTGACACTCTAACAGCCTTGTTGAGCCCTTAAAGAATTAAGGGCTCAATTTGAACTGTAAACAAGTTGCAGCTTACAACGTGGACAGTTTAGATTTCCGATATGTCAACATTGTAGAGTGATGCTTAATAAAATAGACAACACGTAACAATTTATATTCAGTACTCTCCCAAAACAACGTATTACAGTTTTGACAGATCGTTTTGACATGAAAAAAATGAACACGGCAACTATACCTTCATTAGCATGCAAGGGACCGCGCTCGGGGAGGTTAGACAAGTGAGGAACAAATATACTTGGAAAACTGATAAAACAACAAAAATACAAGCGCTCCACCGAAAAGAGCCCTCACCGTACACTGCGAATGCAAAAAAGGCCTGTGGTATCTATCCCTTGATATTCCAGAAGGTATTATATATGCAAAGACCTAGAATTTAGAGTTCACTTTGCCTAATCTTTCCTTAGCTTTTGCACTGCTAGTAATGTGAAGCTCTTGATTGGGATGTGGAGAATAGGCCTAGCCTAAATCAATCACCGCAGCAATCATTAATTACATCGACTATCGGGATTTTGTAGTTCGCCCCCTCCCAGACATTCGGGATTTTGGGTGAGAATCGAGATTACAACAGGAGATAAGGGATGTCGACAATAATCATCGGGAATAAGAATGGAAGAACCCAATTGGTATTAACACACCCAATGGACCCTCCTTTATGGAAATAGGCAATTCGGATCGCACTTTTGTCATCATGATCATATACGGTAATTAATTCGAGGTATATCCATGAAGTAGGGATAGTAATGAAATTCGACGGAAGTCCCGCGGTGAACAGGTTTCTGATTTGCATAATCACGAAAGATGCCTTCGTCTGCACAAACAAAGTCTACTGGACCAACTGCAATCAAAGCTAATTATTTGCATTATGAGAACTATACCAGGACGCTGAATAATTTTCAGTTGCAATTTTTGCGTGAAATCAGCCTGTTTATACTGCAGACTATTAAATAAACACACGAGAGAAGCTAAAGATATTTTAATATATAAAAATAAACAACACGGAAGCAATTAATCATACATACTAAGTCTATATAAACCAGCCGTACTGGCCTCATACATAACGAATTAGGAATGCAATGCTCGGTATTTATCACAACCCAAGTCCATTTATGAAATCTTAATTACATGCCCATAAGTTCATGCATACAACGAACTATGATTGGCAAATCGAATTGTTGTCGTTTCAACTTTGTCGTGCATCGTACTGACAAATCGGTGCAGACATCTGTTAACTGACTTTGACTTGCCTAATAACTTTGTTAGTTAACGCCTCGTACTTTTTGACGTTCCAAGGTGAATATAGGACTTTCATATGAGCCCATCACTGACAGTTTAGCAAAAAGTTTTATTATATTTAAAAGCCCAGCGGGAGCAGTACATACCGAAAGTTCGAGCTCTGCAGATTCTCTTCGAACCCGGATGGTTTAGTTTCATTTTACCTTTTATTTATACCCACAAAGTATGTCCTCCTCGTGACATCTAAAAACAGGGAAGAGCTTACCTCAAAAAGAGAAAATCTTCAAGTCACCTTTCGACAGATGTTCTTGACACATTATTTCGTTACCGCCAGCAACTCATCCATAAACTCCATGTCATCGAGTTCTGAACAAGCCCTCGGGGTGGGGGAGGCTTGTTCGCAGGCTACCCCACCAGGGCTCAGTTTGTTTGTTATCGCGACTCAATTTTCCCTGAATCGTTGAGAGATCCGAACGGAGAGGACACAGTCGAAGTGGCGGGGAGACACTCCCTTGTTCAGCCCGTCCAGAGACTCCTTTTTTAAATTTGGTTTTCACATAACATCCAAAGGCAAAATTCAAAAATAAAGAATTATCGAACCTCCTGAGTTGTAGAGCAGCTAAAAACTTATATTTCTAAAAAAATTCCCATCGAAAGGGCTCATCGTTTTGAATTTTAATCTTTTACGTGACACGGCGTTTACGTGGTGGGTGGTGGCCGAGAAAACCATATAGGTTTAATAAAAAAGTGACTGCCTTTTTAAGGGATTTTGCTATCTGAACAGTCCTTGTACAGTTAAACATTAACCCTGTTTTTACGGACACTGTGGGGGTGTCCGTATTAGGCGGGTTATGTTGTTAACGTAAAACAACACCTTTCATTAGAACAAAATGCTAAAGAAATAAAGGAGGACATTAGTATTGTCAAATAAAACATTTCTATCCTTCACAAAGCCGTAATCCAAAGAAACACTAAAAATCGCTCATCTATATAGTGATTAATCAAAGCCTGTTCTCTGCATAACTCGTTTGATGCCAAAAGTAGTCTAAGAATTGACGTTTACGAATCATCCTATACGGTGTACTCAGTGTTACCACTACGAACATCGACAAGCTGTCAACTGAAAGATTTTTTTACTTTCAAGAAGGAACTGGTTTATAAGACACACAGTTGATAATCAGTGAAGTGTCCGCATTAGCGAGGTTGACTTTCTATGAGAATCTATTAACTGGGCAAGAAATGTGTCTGTTGTTCTTGTCCGTATTAAGCGGGTTGAATGTAGATAAAATGTATTGCCTTTCCCCAGGGACAAAGAAAACTTTCCGTAATAACGGGGTGTCCGTATTAAGCAAGTGTCTACAAAGCGGGGTTCGACTGTATTAGGAAAAGTTCACGCTTTCGTTACAATTGAACTCGGCAAGCGAAATGTTTCTGCTGGTTTCCAGGCGCCATGTTGGTGCCCCACAGAGTAGGGGCACCAACATGGCCTCTCCATACAAAGCTCTTAAAATTTAGGTAAAATTTTTTCCAAATATCTCGCATATGAAAACTTACACCGACCTGGATCTTGGCGAGGGTCTTTGTATATTTAACTTCTTTCATTTCTCAGATTCTGGACTTAATGCATACTTTCAAGTTTTATAGAGGAGGTAGACAAGGGACGACGAAATTTTCCTTCTCTTTGTTAAACTGGGATATGATTCTTAGAAATTCAACCCTAAGAGAGTCCGCCTACATTTGACAAAGTAAGTTAGCTTAACGGATAATCGCTATGAAGAATGAAAGAACACGACTTACATTTTTAAGCAACGTTTTTGCGGCCGTCACCGTCTTCAGATCTTAAGGTCCCTGGTGATTAACAGGACGGACGACTCGGAGGACGATACCAGCTGGAGCGTAGCTGCCTTTAAGCCTTTAAGTTTAGCAAAAATTTGCGCTAAAATGAGCTCATGAAATCGCAGCCATTCGGCATAAATCAGGGATTGAAATTGCACTCGATGTGGCTCCAATGTCCGTCGCAGTGATGGGTGATGCAAAATTGGCTCATAATTCACTAGGAAAATAAATTTTTGGGTTTTTCAGGAAGACACGCTCATAGGGGTCCCCTTTGCGTTTTTCAATTGTCTGCTAGAACTGTATGTTTATTTTGCATTGATCGATGATAAAAGGCAACTTCAAAAAACCCAATCCATCTTAATGGTTATTTACTTAATAAATTTTATCCCTCACTTTACTTGAAAATCGAACTATGCACTAGGCGCGCTCTGCAATTCTATTTTGCCGCCATAACTTAAATTTCGGTTAACTGAGACGGCTGCCTCGCATTGTTCTACTTTGAAAACTTAGAAGATACTCTCAACAAAGGCACGCGGCTCTTGACTCCTCCAGTCAGCGAAATAGACCCCCCTTACAACCGGAGAAAGTTGCTACTATACTGCGCTAATTTTTCTCCTCGCAAAGTCAGTGTCTGCGACTTTCCGGTGTTTTATATGAGAAGGATCAGCCAGAAGGGCAAACCAAAAAAAACCTAAATTATGTGCGATCTACGATACCAAGGGAAGGGCTGATCTCTCGAGTTCATCCATTCTGCACACTTCCGGACGTTGTAACCTTTTTCCAGCCGCTAAGTTTGCTGCCTTTCACTTTCAGCTCTTCGCTTTTCCTTACTCATTTCAATTTGAGCAAGGTGATCAACATACAGCTCTAGTCCTTCACAACTTCTACAGGGCATTATAGTTCCGACAAAATTCAGCTATTGTCTCGCCGTCTCCTGGATTTAAGTTGTTTTCATGGACCTTTTTTTTCATTTGAGCTCGGAGCTGAAAATCAGTTCACGACCATCGATAGCCGTGTTGTTGATAGTGATAGATAATGGAAATCATGAAGCTTGTTACATAGTCAAGGAAGGGTCTAGCCTGCGTAGCAAGCGTTTCCTCGCGAGGTTCGTCTAGAAAGCTGGGACCAGAGCAAAAAAAAAATGACGGGGGAGGGGGAGGGGAACGAAGGAACCGCTTGCCCGCAAACCCCACGATTTTGAAAAACTACGTTCGCCCACGAACGCAGCTTCTGATTGGCGCGGTGCGTGTAGTGTTGATTACTTAGCATTCGAAACATCAATCAAACCAGGTATGCTTTGTTTTCGTGCGTCACAGATCTGGTCTCATCTGATTTGTGGTCACAGATTACAAATGCTTTGGACTGATATTTATTGGAATCGTGTTTGTGCGAAGGTTTATGAGATCAGAGTCTTCAAAGTATAATTGGAGATCGGGCAGTGGAGACTAGGGAAGGCCAATTTATTGAGAATGACGGCGTGCGGATCTGACTGGAAAAATGGACTGTTTGTTGGAGATAACATCAACATAAATCAGAACATCGGTACTCGACACTAGCTAAAGGCGCCATGGACAAGCGATTTGTCAGCTTTTTGAAATGAAAAGATTCTTTTTGTGTATTGGAAATTTGGCGGCATCTATTGTAGAGAACGTTTCGACACAGGCTGAAGAGCAGCCACTCTGCAAAACTAATAGACGGCGGAGTGAATTGTTCCGGACAAATCATCTTTGACGTGTCGACAAGGTTTCAGACGAGATAAAGCCACACAAAAAAAAACAAGAAATTCCGCAGCAATCGCTCATAGTTTTAACTTCCTTTTATCGTAAATCTTTTTTGTTACAGTTCTTGCAATCGCCTGGAACGTGTTCTATTAGAGAACAAAGTAATTTTACATATCTGGTAATCCAGGGGTAATCTGTTCGTCATGTTTCTATTTTGACGAGCTGTCAATTTACAAATGAACCGAACCGTGAAATATCAAGGGGCGTTTTCCAGAATCGTGGGGTTTGCGGGCAAGCGTTTCCTCTTCTCCCCTCCCCCTCCCACTTCAACCTTTTTTTTGCTTCCGCTCTAACTTTCGCGCAATACCTCGATTGGAAACGCTTGCTACGCAGGCTAGGAAGGGTCGTAGAGTTGCCGATTGTGGTAAACCGGTGCATATGCAATTGAAGGATAGGAATGGGTAGGGCCACGTGTTTACCAGGTAAGGAAAAGGGAGGGCCACGAAATTTTTCACAAAAAAGATAAAAAATACCCCAGCCCACCCCCCCCCCCCCAATTAAAAACGTACCTTCCCTAAAAACGCATTGGTTGTGACAGCTTGCATTTATATCACATAAAGAACGAGCTAACTTTGACCAAATGAAAACAAAGTGGCTTAAACTGGTTATAAAACTGTTGGCTCACGAAGGTGAGAAAAGAAATTACCTTGCGCAGTAGGAAATGCAGCCTCGTTCCTAGGGTTCGAGAACCTGGGAACGAGGTTGTAGGAAATGGTGTTATAATCTCCTTATGTAAAGCGTCCACAGCAACATTTGTCACCCTGCGGCAGGGAAAAAAAACTCCTTGCGGTTCCTCATAGTTCAAAAAGAAAAAAATTCCCGTTTTCTATTGTATTCTATTCCCAACTATACTGTCTTTAATGAAAATCCGTGACTGATCGTAATATCGATCATTTGCTGACCTAAAATTATATCACAAAAAAACTCCTCTATTGTCATCTCAAAATCGTGTTTGAACTGCTTTCAGTCGGTTCCTCTCTCGAAATTCCGTCTCGAAATAACAGACCTGAACTAACCCCTTTTTTCTAAAAAACCTCGAACAGAAAAGAAGGCAGGGTCGAGGCACGCGATTAGAAAAACAGACTACTGGCTCTTTTGTTCCATCTCGCGTTATCTTAATTAATTAAGTAAACAATTTTTGCCTCGTTAATTTAGCCCACTCTCCATTTCTTTTCGCCCCAATCTTTACTTGTTCAATCGACACCTAGTTTTGCGAACAGTCTTGCTGAGATAGACTGCAAGCTGTCTAAACGTAGCGTAATCATGTTTCATTTCCTCTTTAGCCCTTCAGATTATTCTTGCCTGTTCACTCTTGGGATCGGAAGGAAATGCGTACAACAAAAAGAACCTCCAAATGTCTCTCTCAACTCAAGCTTAGCTGCTCATAAAGGAAAAGAAAGTTTGAGTGTGACCTAACACAGACTTGGTTTCAAAAAGTTCTTTTATTCACAGGTCAGTAGCTAGAAAGAAGGATTATAGCATTTTCGTTACCTTCACTTTTGAAGGAGCACTTCATATAAAGCTTTACTGGAGATGTAGGTCCCATAAACTGCTACAATCAACCCAAACACGATCATAGCGTAGTCCAAAGCAATCTGACGCATGTTGAGGTCTTTCCCCCTCAGAATTAAATGAGCAATACAAGGCAAAATGCAGTTGAATAATGGAAGGGATAGATTGCCGAAAAACGACGTTAAATAACCAAAGTGTGGAACAAAGACTGCTGCGAAGAGAGTGAGGGACACAAGGACCAGACGAATCGAGGAAAAATAAACAAATCGTGGCAGTCTGACTTTTGATTGGAGACTTAGATAAAAGGAAGATCCTTCAATATACTGGAAAACTGCGTGAAGGGGCAACGCAAAAGAAACCAAACAACTTAAAACAAACACCACGCTGACGATAATTTTTGGGACATTGTTCGGCAGATTGTTGATCACAATTTCATCTGTCGTGAAAGAAAACGAAAGAAAACCAAATATCGAAAAAGGTAATTTGAAGACCACCGCTACGATGTAAGCAAACGCCAAGGCTCTTCCAAACTTGGACTTGTCGGCCATGCTTTCCTCAACAGAAGGGACAATAGGGGCTGAACCATAGCTAAACATGATGATCCCCAGGGAAATGAGGAAGCCTTCTGTGTCCCAAAACAAAAGAGCTTTGACGTCCCACTCGGAAGAATGAGATGCACCATACCACAGGATCATCAACGCTGTGCTAGCTAAAGCCACAACACCAATAACGCTCAACCAGGCGATCTGCGATAATGACTTCAGAAAAGTAGTTGGGAGAACCACTATCGCTGCAATGCATGTCCACAGTGTTTCTGTGAGGGGTAGGGACGGGAAGGCTGTTGCCATCAGAGAACCACACACGATAAGATACGACGTTGCTATGATGGTCAAATCAAAACACTGTACAGCGGTTACCACAATGCCACCAAATCGAGGCCACATGTCTTGTCCGATTTCACGCCAGGAAGAGCGCACGCGCGTTTTGCCACGAGGCCCATCTGTATAATAAAGACAGTCAACAAGAACCAGAGCTGTAAACCAATAGATGACAGGCATAAAAAGAAAGGCTGCAATAGCAGCTATTCCTCCTTTGGCAACAGCAAAAGGCAGTGCCAAAAATCCAACTCCTTCGATGAAATTGATTATGTTAAGTGCTGCCTTCCACACTGAAGCCCGTCCCGGGGACACTCTGATTAATGGCGTCCCCTCGTCATAGTCCTCCTTATCTGAAGTTAAATCAACGTAACTGTAGCTATCAAAATGTTCCACCATCTTTCCTATGACGGAAATAAGATAAATAATGGTAAGGCAATCCGTATTCCGAAATTCGGGAAATTTTTTATTATGGAATCCGGAATCCTGGGACTTGGAATCAGGGATTCAGCACTGGGAATCCGTAATTCAAGTTCCACTAACAAGGAGTCCAAAATCCAGAAACTAACGGCTGCGATCAGGCGGTCCTTCTTCCCTTTTCGTTTTTCTCCTTTTCCTGTCCGCCGACACTATCCCCGAAAAAAGGAATACCTGATCGCAGGTTCTGGAATCTGGAATCCGGAATCCACCGCGTAAATTTGAAAACCATTGCATACAATCTAGCCTGCGTGGCAGGCGCAAAAAGGGGAGGGGGAGGGGGAGGGGGGAGGGAGAAAGGGAAAAGGGAAGGGAGCAATCCAATCCAATCCCCAATCTCCCTTCCCCGTTTTCCCTTCCTCCCTATCCCCTACCCCCTACCCCTTTCGACGCCTGCTACGCAGGCTACATGCAATCCAGAATCCAAGACTGTTAAGGATTACATTGCACGAGGAAGACATTTCATCGAAAACAATTACTTTCTAGAGATAACATATTTTTTATTTAGTCTACCCTGGGGTCGGCCGTAGGCTGACACAATCGGGACTTTTCCCAGGGGACTTCTCTTCGTCGGATGGCACTGAACAAATAAAAGACGACGATACACCGCAGAAAAAGCATTTAACACATATATATTTTGCACTGATTTATCTTAGCACTGATTTGTCAGTCTTTCTTTCGTCGTAATACGATGCTGTGCCGATAACCATATACATTTACCGTGTTATACAGCGCGGTTTATACTTTCGAAGACTGTGCTGTTTGCTGTGTTCATGAACAACGGATTGCGTAACCACTTCTCCATCGATTGCGTAAGTCTTGTGTGGTTCTTGAGGGCTCGGCAATGTGATTCAATGCAGCGCTATAGGTAAGGTACGCACCAAATTGTTTTTCACGGAGAATATTTACTACGTTTCAGCGTTTGTAAATGTACGGATAGCCCAAGAACCCGCATTGAAATGTCAGAGTTCTGACAAGGCTTCACGCGGCAGCTTTTATAACTTGTATGCCGCGGGCTGCGATCATCATCCCGTAAATAGCTATGTCTCTAAATAGGAAAATAAATGCCTGATTGCATGTTCGACAAGTTTAAAGACGTATAAACCTACCTGTAAATTTTTGTGTGAAGACTGGCTAAGAATACTGTGAATGGTGTAAATGGTCGCGAATCGGGAGTTCAAAACATCTGAGCCGGCTCCTCGCTAGTTTGCCGATTTTGCTACTTGACGTGTAAGGTCTAAAGACATCTTACAGCGTTGCTAATCCTCACAAATATAACACTGATTGTTACTCATTAAGGTTAGTTAACCTTTTACAATATTAAAATTTGGAATTTGTCAAGACCCCTTGACCTTTTGGAACCCCGTAGCTCATCGGACTATGAATTAGCCAATAGAATTGGTCGTTTCGCCCACACATCCCCTTAGCTTACGGCTTTAGTCGTTTCGCTGAAGAAATAGACTACGAGTAGTTCACCATTTGTCCTCAGGGGTAGTAGAGCAAGCGAAACGCGAGCACGCGTAAAAATCACCCCACGCGAGAAAGGCGAGACGAGGTGTAGCCTCCCCGCAGACGTCCTTTGGGGTTCGTTTGTCACGCATTCATTTATGAATGCTTGACAAACGAACCCCAAAGGACGTCTGCGGGGAGAGCTATAAAAGCGTTCAAAAAGGGGGTACTTTACCATGGGGAAGATTGTAATAGAGGGCCAAAACATGACCCTCCAATACTCGAGCCCGCGTTTTTATTGGTCAATAGGTGACCTTACATGACGTACTTGCTGGGTTGTTTGCCGCTCGCTTGCTCGCTTGGTCGATCGCTTGTCAGTTGTCAACCGTCGCGTTGTAGGTGCCGTTCCATGCCAAAACGTTCTCCCGCAAAGAGAGATTGAAGAGATAACGGGGAGAGAAAAATAAAAAAGAGCAAAGAAAGTGCTTCTTCATCAACCAGCAAAGTGGATGAAGATTTGGTAAGATCTTTCTTTTTGTTTTCTGTTATGGCACCCCTTTTCACCTTTTCACGTATTAGGGGTAAGCTCATATGATTTCTAGTTCAAATTTTTTGGAAGGAAAAAAGCGTTTAATTCGCGAGGAAGCTAACATATTTATTATACTACTGAGTTGATCATCGTTAAAAAGGGAACATGTTCTTTTTTCCATGATCGAGGGCAAGCTACCACGACATATGAAATGAAGAGCTTTGTTTTTGTACTAGCATGATTTGTAGTGATATTTGGCATGAATATCACGAGTGATATTTCGAAATTGTTATACGTAATTTCAAATTTGAGACAATTTTGAAATATCACGAGTGGTATTTATGCCAAATATCACGTACAAATCATGCTATTATTTGTTTATACTACTACCTGCAAAAGGTTTGTAATTTTCACATGTAGGTATTTCAAATTAAGCTGAAATACCACTGCTCTAAGCCAATCAAATTGCAGTAATTTTTCATGTAGTAGTGTAAGGCGTCTAATCTGTTGATTTCCAGGGTTTACCTCCGTGTAAGAACCTGTGAACTTTTTCTTTGTTTCGCACCTTTTGTTTCTCTACGTTCTATTGCATTGACTTCTTTGTTTCCTCCGTTTTACGTCACTTGTGAGTTTAACAGGTTCTTACACCGAGGATGAGCTGATTTCCATTTATGGAAATCAAAAAGCAACCTTGAACTGTAGACCATAACAAATAAATATATGGCAGCACTCCTTCATACTTTATCTATCAATAGTTGGCCCTACAGCTGCCCCCACTCTGTATGTATCGTGGTCGGTCAATAGTCTTCTTGTTTGTGTAGATTTTTAAAAAACAGATTCATAATGGATATTTTCACACATATTGCATACATAGATAAGAACACAAAACAAAAAGTTTCATGCAGTGATTCAGTTCGATTTTAAAGCAGCTCAGATCAAACCATTCTCAGTTTCGAGAATATTTTATTCTAAAATATAAGCAAAGATTTGATTAGAAGTTGTAATTCTTCACTATTTCTCTTTTACTTTTAATTTAAAATGTTTGATCACATTGCTCTTGGGCGTTCTAGTCATTTAACTTTTAAGACAATACGTTAATGAGAATTCGATGAAGAGAATTGTTTCATTATGATGGAAAGATATCTGTTGAAGAGCAGTATTCACCATTTTGCATTCCACAAGAGATACTGAAAGCAAAGTTTATGCAACAATATTGGAAGGGGGCAGACAGACAAGGTGTATTAGGGAATGCAAAACTAACAAATACTTGTGGTTATATAAATGAACAAGTTGAGTAATTCAAAAGTTTTTTGGCAAGTCTTTGTTACATGTAGCTGAACCATACATTTATAACAAATATGGAAACCTTGGAAGTTAAGCTCTGTGGATTTGACCTTAAAGTGGAAATCAAAGTTCTATTGTAAGATGATACAAAATATTTTATTTCCTCAAATAAAAGCCGTCCCTCTATTAACCTCAAATAAGAAATCTTTTCTAGTAATAGTTGACAATACAGCTCCACCCCCTCTGTATATTGTCGGTCAATAATAGTCTTGGTCATTGTGTAGCTCTTAGCCTGCGTGGCAGGTGCAAAAAGGGCCCCCCCTTTTCCCTTTCTCCCTATCCCCTACCCCTTTTCGACGCTTATATGTAGCTCTTTGAAATAATTACACCAATTCATGATCAAAGATTTTCACACATAATTATTCTATACAGAAGGTGAGAGTAAAAACAGGAAACGAAAGGTTCCATGCACTGTTTCAGTTCGATTTACACAGCTATGATCTGAAAGCATTCTCTGTTTTGAGAATAGTTTATTTTAAACCATTACAAAAGATTTAATTATTAGAAGTTATTTTTTTCAAACAGTTCATTTTATTTGCCTGAAATTAAGCCTTAGAAATTAAAAGGTTTGATCAATAATTGCTCACAGATGTCCATCAGGGGATTAAGTATTAGAAATGGCTAGAACATGCCAAAGAGATAGAGAAAGAGATCAAAGATCTGTGAACTTGTGTCTGGCAAACTATCCAAGTGTTTATATACACAGTCATACACACCTTATAACCTTATCTCCGATTAAGGATGTAACATTTCCCAAGCATTCGTTATATAGAGGTGTTCGATATAGCAAACCCTCCACTTAACTAACACATTTCCCCAGTCCCTTTGCATGTTAAATCGAGGTTCCACAATGTACTTAAATACTTCGATCACTAAAACTCCTTTTAAACTATATCATACAGCAGAGAAGTTTATAACGGATTTGTTGTTGTTCTTGTTCCAGGAAGACGAAAAGTGATTAATGAAAGAAGATCATTAAGAAAAATAAATATCAATAGTTTTTTTTTTTTTTAAAAATGGTGTATTCATTTGTATTAAAAAAAAAACTTTTGAACGTCGTTTCTCCTTAGACAACAACTACTCGCACGTCCAAGCTCCTTACAGAGGCGTCTTCTCTATTTTCTAAACGACCATTTTTCGACTAGATTCTGTTTTTTAAGAGCAGGGGATTTTTAGATAAAACTTCATTGACAATCATTATCATTAACCTCTCTCATAATATTGGGAAAGGCTTTTCGTTGTGCGTGGTTTGTAGAATCTCGTTTTTGACTCTCTTTTACTATTCATTGTAATTATTATTCTTTAAAAGTTCATATTTCAGTTTATTTGTTGCTTTGGTGCATGTATGTTCTTTTTATCCCCATATAACGGTGACGTGGGATCCTATTCACCACCGGTGTTTAGTTTTCTGTGAGCTAAAAATAATTTTAAGTAAAACCTTCATACACCAAGAAGGGTGGCTTCAGAAAAGAATAAGGCTCGAGGATGATAATTGGTGGTAGAAATGAATAATCAGTTGAACGTTGTGCTTCCTCTTCGACAACAACTAGTCAAA